GACTACAAACAAGTTTGACTTTAGTTTCCCAAGTCAAATCTCTAGACGTGCCGCGTGCCTCCTTGCAGGTGCTAGGTTTTGGAGCTCCAACTGAGATTTTACACCCTCGGCTTCCCAGTTCTCGAGAGTGAAGGAACCATGCTGCCGGCCTGGCAGTGGACTGACTGCAGACGATCTTTCCTGGGAATTATCAGCTGTCCTGGTCATGTAAGCCTGTATTGCTAATAATTTTGCTTGATGGGTCTATATACATGTCTGGTAAATATTCTATGCAGAAATGCTAACAAATAACAATTCCATTTTAAAATTTTAATTGGATTTTTTTAAGTGGAGAGGCATATTTACAGAGAGAAGGAGATAAAGAAGGAGCTTCTGTTCACTGGTTCACTTCCCAAGTGGCCGCAATGGCCAGAGCTGAGTTGATCCGAAGCCAGGGGTCTCCCACGTGGGTGCAGGGTCCCAAGGCTTTGGGCCGTCCTCCACTGCTTTCCCAGGCCACAAGCAGGGAGCTGGATGGGAAGTGGAGCTGCCGGGATTAGAACCGGTACTCATATGGGATCCTGGCAAGTTCAAGGCAAGGACTTAGCCCCTAGACCACCTCACTGGATTCCAGTTAATTATTTTTTAAAGATTGATTTTAAGGCAAGGCATGATGGCATAATTGGCTAAGCTTCCCCCTCAAGCATCCCCTTTAACCACTAGGCTACCCGGCCAGGCCCCCAAAATTTTCTTTGTATCACTGACCTGTAGAAATTTCATTAAAATGTATCTGTGTTGTAAACTTCCCATTTCTAGAACTACAGTTTGTTCAACCTCTTTGATGTGACCATTTCTTGTCTGTTTTAACAAGCTTGTGCTGTTTTAGACAGTTTCTTTAAAAAAAAAAAAGATTTATTTTTATTGCAAAGTCAGACATAGGGAGAGAAGGAGAGACAGAGAGGAAAACCTTCCATCTGATGATTCACTCCCCAAGTGACCGCAACGGCCGGTGCTGCACTGATCCGAAGCCAGGAGCCAGGAACTTCTTTCCTGGTCTCACACGCGGGTACAGGATCCCACAGCTTTGGGCCATCCTTGGCTGGTTTCCCAGGCCACAAGCAGAGAGCTGGATGGGAAGTGGGGCCACTGGGATTAGAACTGGTGCCCATATGGGATCCTGGTATGTTCAAGGCAAGGACTTTAGCCATTAGGCTATTGTGCTGGGTTCTACAAAAATGGGTTAGAGCATTTTCAAGATTTCCTTGGAAAGAGTTAGAGAGAATGTGGGCAGACACACCAAGAGAAAGGGTAGAGTCCTCTGGTTCATTCCTCCCGGATGGCTACAATGGCTGAGGCTGGGCCAAGCCAAAGCCTGGAGCCAGGTGCTTCTTTTCCATTTCCACATTAGTAGCAGAGCCCCAGGTAGATGGGCCATCTTCTGCTGCTTTCTCATGCCAGCAGCAGGAAGCTGGATCAAAAGTGGAAGAGCCGGGACTTGAACAGGCGCCCATATGAAATGCCAGCATTGCAAGTGGCAGCTGTATGTTACCACAACTTCGGCCCCTTTTAGAATGTTTTCATGACTTAACAGTCCCTGCCCTATAAATCTGGTCCCTGTCTCAGAATTTGTCTATTCGGAGTAACTCCTATAAATGCAATCACACTATAACTCTCTTTGGTTAACTTCTTTACAGCGTATTTTCAAGGCTCACCCATGTTGCCGCATGTGTCTGGCTATGTCTAGTAATGTTTGGATGACAAACACTATACATTTTATATTTATAGGCATTAGACTTGTTTTTTTTCAAGATTTATTTATTTTTATCGCAAAAGTCAGATATACATAGAGGAGGAGAGACAGAAAGATATTACGTCCGATGATTCACTCCCCAAGTGACTGCAATGGCCAGTGCTGCGCAGATCCAAAGCCAGGAGCCAGAAACCTCTCCCTGGTCTTCCATGCAGGTGCAGGGTTCCAAGGCTTTGGGCCATCTTCCACTTCTTTCCCAGGCCACAAGCAGGGAGCTGGATGGGAAGCAGGGCCGCTGGGATTAGAACCAGCGGCCATATGGGATCCCGGCAAATGCAAAGTGAGGACTTTAACCACTATGCTATCGCGCCGGGCCCTGGACTTGTTTTTATCCAGATGGATACTTTGGGAACCTTTTAATGGATTTGAATCTGAAGCAACACTAAATCTAGAGCCAATTCTTGTCAGACTGAGCTAGATCTTCTTGCATGTGCTGTGTCTTACAAATCTGGAGTTTTCCTGGATGACTCTTTCAAGCATGCATTGACAAATAGTGTGCTGAAGGTTGCAGCGGGACCCTCAGCAGGCCCATGTGCTTTCCTATGTGCTGCTCTCCTGATGCTCTGTGCTCTGACCTCTAGCTGCCCTGTCTCAAGGATATCTCACCTTTGGAAATCCCCAGGCTCTGCCAATTTCCTCTTCTGGAGCTACAGTAAGGAAACTCTCCAGACTGTATGCTTGAGTCACTTGGAGGACTAGCCATGTTTTCTAACTTTTTTAAGAGTTGCTTTCCTGGGTGGGTGCCGTGGTATTGTAGGGTAAGCCTTCAAGTTAAGAGTCCTGGCTGCTTCACTTTCCTTTCTTTGCTTCTTTCTTTTTCGACAGATTTATTTTTATTGGAAAGGCAGATCAGATTTACAGAGAGAAGGAGAAACAGAAAGATCTTCCATCTGCTGGTTCACTCCCCAAATGGCTGCAACAGCCAGAACTGAGTCAATCCAGAGCCAGGAGCTTCTTCCAGGTCTCCCACATGGGTGCAGGATCCCAAGACCTTGGGCTATCCTGCACTGCGTTCCCAGGCCACAAGCAGGGAGCTGGATGGGAAGTGGAGCAGCTGGGACATGAACTAGCACCCACATGAAATTCTGGCACTTGCCGGGGGAAAATTCAGCCATTGAGCCATCACATTGGCCCCGGGCTGCTCCATTTTTTTTTTAATGATTTGTTTGTTTTCATTACAAAGTCAGATATACAGACAGGAAGAGAGACAGAAAAAGATCTTCCATCTGATGATTCACTCCCCAAGTGAGCGCAGAGCCAGGAGCCAGGAACTTCCTCCAGTTCTCCCACATGGGTGCAGCGTTGCAAGGCTTTGGCCCATCCTCGACTGCTTTCCCAGGCCACAAGCAGGGAGCTGGATGGGAAGTGGAGCTGTTGGGATTAGAACCAAAAGCAGTGGAGGGTGGCCCAAGTGCTTAGGTCCCTGTTACTGTGTAAAATCTGGCAGAGGGCATCACATTCAGAAACAAAGCATGTGAGCCGCAGAGAGCTCAGCTTTCACCCATTCACCATAGAGACATTCGTCCAGTCCTCAGGGTGGGATCCCTTCGGAAGCAATCACATACCAAGGGCCCAGTCTCCTAGCATCATAGACAGATGAATTAGAGGGTTAAGTGTCCAACACGTGGATCTGGGTGATATTTAAAAATTGCACCAATACCTAAGATAAGCATGATGTTTGGAAATTGGATACAAGTGGAAAAGCAGCCAGACCCAGAAAAGGAAGCCAAGAGTGAGGAGAGCGTGAACCTGGAGAGAGCAGAGAAATTACTGCTGTTTTGGCAAAGATCATGACTCATTCGTGATTGCATTAAGAGCATTCTTAGAGGTGTGGGAGGGACAGAAGCCAAACTGAATTAAGTTAAATATAACCTGAGTATGGGGAGTGAGACTGAAGACTGGCTTTGCTGAGATGTATGGCGATGAGGTCATGCCTAGGAGGGTAGATGGGGCCAAAACTCACAAGTAAATTGTTCATAAGTGTTGAACACAGGAGCTGAAATCAATAGGGCCACAGCTCAACAAGGCTCCATTTATACTATACTATCATGAGCTAGCAAAAAGGATGAATGAAACATACTACACCTTAAAAAAATCATCGAAGGTTTATCCATGTTAATGTCAATCATAATAAAGCTAAAAGATTTCCCCATATTTTTCTTACACCTGCAGGTATTCTATACTTAGCTTGAAAATCTAATTGTATAATTAAATAATATTTTCCATATATATGTAATTTCAAGAGGCTTTTCTTTCGGTTTCTATAGTAAGCAGCCACACTCCATAACCACCAAAAAGCTGGTTTTCATTGTGTAAAGAAGACAGCAAAGGGGGCCTGGAGCAGTAGCCTAGCGGCTAAAGTCCTAGCCATGCACGCGCCAGGATCCCATAGGGGTGCAGGTTTGTGTCCTGGCAGCCGTGTTTCTCATCCAGCTCCCTGCTTGTGGCCTGGGAAAGCAGTCGAGGACGGCCCAAAGCCTTGGGACCCTGCACCTGCGTGGGAGACAGGGAAGAGGCTTTTGGCTTCAGGCTCCTAGCTTTTAGATTGGCACAGCTCTGGCCATTGCAGCCACTTGGGGAGTGAATAAGTGGATGGAAGGTCCTCTTTTCTGTCTCTCCTCCTCTCTGTACATTTGATTTTCCAAAAAAAAAAAAAAAAACTAAAAAAAAAAAAAAAAAAAGACAGGGAGAGAGATAGCAAAAGCCTAACCCTGGTTTCCCATAGACAAAGGCAATCAAGCGTCAGCCTTTCTAGTTCTCCAGGTCAAACTCCCGACTCCCGAGTTGCCTCGCTAGAAGGCTAGCAGAACTTTATGCCAATCAAGGGGCGGCTACTCTAACCCACCTAAGAGGTCCAAGCCTCGTTAGTCGAGAAACTTAACACATCTCGCTGTTTGCGGGCATCGAGTTAGATACCCCCATCCTTTCTAACTTAGCGAGAGGAAGGCTCTCCCCCTCCTCTCCCATCCCTGGCCGGGTGTCTTAGCTTTGCTCTTCTGGTACCATCCCCGCCTCTCACCGCTCCCCTTCCCTGCTCCCAACCGACCTCCCTGCACTTGTCGCTCGTTCCTTAAAAAGGAACAATTGCTCGCGAAGCTCCCCAAACCGGCGAAACAAGCCAGGTGGCTGCGAGCTTGTTTTCCGGCTGGTGTGCATCATTTCCGGTCACAGTCTTACTGCCCCGGAAGCGGAGACTGATGTAAACACGGGAGCAGGGCGCCGAAGCCTGGGAGGTCAGGCAAGCCGGGCCGCGGGCGGCGCCGAGAACCGGGCTTCACAGGGGGCGGGGGTTCCGAGACGGGGGAAGAGAGATCACAAGGGAGAAACGGACTGGAGTTGGAGCACGATCCCAGGGTAGGTTGGGATCTGGGAGAGGGGAGGGGTATTTTGGAATAGGGGATCTCCGTAGATTAGGGTTTCTGACAAGCATGTTGAATGGGTGATGAGGTTGAAAAGCAGCATGGGGGTGGTCTTGAGGGATGCGACAATCCTGGTAGAGCCCTGAAGCATGCAAGTATTGGGAATGGGGGTGTCTGTGGAAGTAGGAAGCTGGAAATGTGGAAAGAATGGGTCTTGGAAGAGTCAGCCTTTTCAGTGGAGTGTTGGGAGTGCACAGGAACTTTGAGGTTCTTGGATCAATAGGGGCATGCATCTGGACAGAGATCTTAAAGAGATGGGGGTTGAAAGGCAGGAGGGAGCTTCAGGACAGGAATCTTGGCAGCTGGGGTTTGGATGGTGGTCGTGGATGGATGTTTTCCTAGGTGGCTATTTCGGGTGGTGTATCTTAAGCATGGATCTTGAGCCAGTAGCTGTGTGCTCTGGGGCAGGGCACTGGGGAAAGGCTGGAGGGTCTAGAAGGGGAACCTTAGGACAGATGAACCTTAGGCAGGCGTTGGGGGAATGGCTCTAGGCCAGCTCATGTTGGAACCAGGGCCAGCAGAATAAAGGAAGGGAACACTCTAATGATCACATTTTCAGTGATACAGAAATGCTGAGTTGGGGTCCTTAGGTTATAACCGGATGGAGGTGGGGAGCTGAGAGGAGCAGGTGTCCATATTATACCCCTCTGCTGACAGACTCAGTAATGCAGGAAGAGGAGTTAGAGGAAGCCTGTGAGGGAACAAGGTGCTGGGATAGTTAGAAGGGCATGAGAAGGGGTGGTACCAGGGTGTTGGACCAAACAGCCATCTCAGAGAGATAACATGAAAAGGCGATTCTCCTAGCACTTATCTTCCCTACTACTGACAGGTGGAGTGGAGTACTTGCTCAATTCCTGGGTGAAGGTGGGACTCAGGTTGGCTGGGAGTGGGGTGGGGAGGTCGCTGGGGCACTCCCTAGCCCGTTCCTTCCAGGAGAGTCAGTGAGAGCCAGCATGTAAGAAGCAGAAGAGGCACCCCAGTGAGCACAAACCTGGAGCTGAGCTGGGCCAATGTGAGAAGACAGAGTCCCTGGCCATGCTGCTAGGAGCAGAGACACCCAGCATGGGGTCTCCTATTTGTAGGCTTGGTGACTCTGTCAGCTCAATAGTTAGCAGAATGGAGGAAGGAAACTCGTTGGGGGATGAAAGTTCTAGGACTTGGATGGGGACACCCTAAGATTCTTGTCAACTGTATCTCATTTGTGAGCAGGGGCAAACCTGGAAAATGGCTCAGCCGCCACTTCGAGGAGTGACCAGCTTGCGATTCAATCAGGATCAAAGTGAGATTGGCTTCCACCTGTATGTTTGTGGGAGGGGAAAAGGGTCAGAGGTAGATCTGGGTCCCCAGCTTTGCCACCTGTGCATTCTTTGACACAGCACCAGCTGCCTTCCACTTCTTCATCTCCCATCCCCAGGCTGCTTTTGCTGTGCCATGGAGACAGGTGTGCGCATCTACAACGTGGAGCCGTTGATGGAGAAGGGACATCTGGGTGAGTCTTTGGTGAGGGAGGAGTACTGGGCAGAAGGGCAAAAGTACTGGCTCTTACCTCCACTGATACCCTGGTCCCTGTCCAGACCACGAGCAGGTGGGCAGCACGGGCCTGGTGGAGATGCTGCACCGCTCAAATCTACTGGCCCTGGTAGGCGGGGGGAGCAGCCCCAAATTCTCAGAAATCTCAGGTAAGTGCCCTCCTTGCCCCTGTGTGGCCCAGACCCTTTCACAGGCACCCTGAGGCACTTGCAGGATTGAAGATGACAAGGCACTTCAGAGGCAATCTAGGAAGGGAGGCCTACAGTGCACCAGTCCTGGGTCTTAGAGCTTGAAAAACTGGATGCTTTGTTATCATTAAAAACATAGGTGTGTGCACACTCATGCATACAATCTGACTCCTGAATGCCAGGGAGTGTTTGCTCACTATAAGTGTGCTCTTATTCCATGCACTTTGCAATCACCCGTGGACTTCTCACAGTGCAGTGGGAAGTATACCATGGAGTCTGTTTTTATCAAAGGGGAAACTCAAGCCTGCTGAGGTTGAGTGACTTATCTGAGGTCACAAAAGCAATAGGTTTTCAAATCTTGGGAACATGGCAAGAGATAGCATAGTAGAGTCCCTGAGCCCTAGGACCCCTCCAAGATCTCTCCTGGGAATAGGCACCCAGCCTCATGAAATGAGAGTGCCAGACCCTCAACCCCATTCACAGCTCCATTTGCTCCATGTCCAAATCTGAGTGTGATCATTCTGGATCTGGTTCTCTCATGGTGTTTGCCTTGGGGGGAACATCATATTGGGGATTTCAGTGAAAGGCTAAACAAATGATTTCAAGTCCTATAGGGAGTAGAGGTGGGCCTTGTCTCCCCAGGGTTTCCTCTCACCATAAATTTTGTTCCCTCCTCCCACCACCTCCCCCCTGCAAAAAAAAAAAAAACTCCACCCCACCTACCAAGCAGTGCTGATTTGGGATGATGCCCGGGAGGGCAAGGACTCCAAAGACAAGCTCGTGCTAGAGTTCACCTTTACCAAGCCTGTGCTGGCTGTGCGCATGCGCCATGACAAGTGAGCCTGTGGAGGACTGGGGAGGAGGGTAGGAGCTTCCTACGGCAGGCAAGAGGGTTAGTCTTGCCTGAGCCCTGCAGCACCCCTCATGGCCATGCTGTGTCTCCAGGATCGTGATCGTGCTGAGGAACCGCATCTACGTGTACTCCTTCCCCAACAACCCACGAAAGCTGTTTGAATTTGACACCCGGGACAACCCCAAGGGTGAGAGGACCTGGCTTTATATGGGTGTCAGGGCAGTGAGTCGGGGCTGAGCCCAGGGGTGAGGATCCAAGGGACATACACACACACACACACACACACACACAATGGAAAAAGGCAGGGAGAGTTGCTGCAGAACTGCACACAAGTCTGTCCATCCTTCTGTCAGTCAATTCCCTCTTGCCATCCTCAGCCCTGCCCCCACCCCTGGGGACCCCAAGTGGCTGAGCAGAACTACCTGCTGAGGCCCTGGGTGGGTGTGTCAGAGAGCTCTCCAGGGCCTCCAAGGGATAGTCACAGCAGCTTCCTGGAAGATGACCTGCTGGTGGGGAACCTCAGCTTAACATTCAAGTCCCTGAGGGTTCAAATAAGCCTGTTAACCAGCTCTGTCCATGCTAAGGCATTGCTGACCTCCTGCCCCCAAACTCCTTTGATCCCTCATCCCCACACCCTAGGGCTCTGTGACCTTTGCCCCAGCCTCGAGAAACAGCTCCTTGTGTTCCCAGGACATAAGTGTGGGAGCCTACAACTTGTGGTGAGTTGTCCAGTGGCCAAAGGGGTGGGACTGTGAAGGGGAGTTGAGCAGGATGGCTCTCACTCCCTCTCCTCCATGCTACCTTAAGTCTAAATTTCCCCCCTTGCACCCCAGGACCTGGCAAGCACAAAGCCTGGCACGTCATCCGCTCCCTTCACCATCAATGCACATCAGAGTGATGTGGCTTGCGTGTCCTTGAACCAGCCGGGGACTGTGGTGGCCTCAGCCTCCCAGAAAGGCACCCTCATTCGCCTTTTCGACACCCAGTCCAAGGAGAAACTGGTAGAGCTGCGACGAGGCACTGACCCTGCCACCCTTTACTGGTGAGCACAGGGTACAAGATGGTGTGCCCATAGCCCCACATCATGTGACAGTGTGGGCATCACTGGTGCTTGTTGTCTTGCAGCATTAACTTCAGCCATGACTCGTCCTTCCTGTGCGCTTCCAGCGATAAGGGCACAGTTCATATATTTGCTCTCAAGGATACGCGTCTCAACCGCCGCTCTGCGTGAGTACTCCCTCCCCGCTTCCCACCATGGCTCTATGCTCCTATTATACCACACCTGGACTTAGCCAGTACTGTCTGCAGGCTGGCTCGTGTGGGCAAAGTGGGGCCTATGATTGGACAGTACGTGGATTCCCAGTGGAGCCTGGCAAGCTTCACCGTGCCTGCCGAGTCAGCCTGCATCTGTGCTTTCGGGCGGAATACTTCCAAGAATGTGAACTCTGTCATTGGTGAGTGGGAACAGCCGCTGGGCTCATTTGGGAGGGTACTATATGAGCAGGAGAGCTGGAGGTTGGAGCTTAGGGAATTCTAGGGCCATGGGAAGTCTGAGGGAGCTGCGATTGTGTGGCTCAACTACATCAGTAAAGTGATACATCCTAGATGGCCCAGAGGACTGGACTGTGCGTCTGCGCAGCTTCTAATCTTTGATCCCCTCTCCCCTTCCCTAGCCATTTGTGTCGATGGGACCTTCCACAAATACGTCTTCACCCCAGATGGAAACTGCAATCGAGAGGCTTTCGATGTGTACCTTGATATTTGTGATGATGATGACTTCTAAGGACCCTGGAAGCTGGATTAGGGACCTGCCATGGCAGGCTGCCAGTGGAACTTTGGTGTGGGTGTGGGGGAGGGGTACCGTGGAAGTCCCCAGGCAGCAAGCATGAATTGGGCCTGTGCCCCCTGCTCAACTCGGCAGAGCCGTGTGTGAATAAACAGCCTAACTTCCCCAAGAATTTCTTGATAACTGTGACCACAAAGGACCAGGGGCTGAAGGAGGCACCAGAACCAGCTGGAGAAGACTGTAGGAGCCCCGGAGGGCATCACCTAATCCCATGTGGGGATTTAAAAAAGCTTCCCAGAAAAGAGATCATCTCAGATGCGATTAATCGCAATAAAAGGCTTTTTAATAACAGCACTTAGCTCGAGGGTGGGGCGTGGAGTTTCCCGGAGAGGAAGTAAAATCCACCCCTTCTCCTTCTGACAGTCCCTGCTGTCTTGTCTCTGCTTAGCTGGATATTCTTGGCTTAAACCGCCGCCAACGCCCAGAACTGTCCCGCGTGGCGCCTCACCCTGGGACGGGTAGGAATTTTGAAGAGTCGGGAACGTCCCGCCTTGTGGCCGAAGCTTGGTTTCCCGGCAGCCTTTTTGCCCGGCTCCACGACGTACGTCTACGATTCTTGTCACGTGCGTCATAGCGCCTGCGCTGCTTACTTAGTTAGCGACGCCCGCCCAGGGTAGACTTCTTTTCCCGACGTGCTTCGCGGTGCGCAAGGGGTAACGGTAGTTGTAGTCCAGCCGGCCCTTCGTGCTGGTCCAGCCACCGACAGGATGTCGGAGGTACGACTGCCACCACTACGAGCCCTGGACGACTTTCTTCTGGGGTCGGCACGCCTGGCGGTTCCAGATCCTTGCGACACGCAGCGTTGGTGCCATCGTGTCATCAATAACCTTCTCTACTATCAAACTAACTACCTTCTATGCTTCGGTTTCAGTCTCGCTCTGGCCGGGTGAGGGGAGGGAGCGAGGCTTGGGTTGGTGGGAGACGCCTTGGAAAACCGGGAAGAGGGGGGGCCCTGAGCAGGATGGGGTGTGGAGTAGGGCCGGGAAGGGCGAAAGCCTGGGGGCCTTTGAAGCTGGAGTAGCTTGGTTATGGGAGGGCCTGGTGGAGGATGGGAGGGTCTGGCACGAAGACCTGGGACTGCGGAAAAAGTGCAAGACTGAAGGGGTGGAGAGAGTGAGCTGGGAGGTGGTTCCGAAGACCAGGTAGTACCGGAAAGGGAGACCCGGAGACCCGAGAGTACTCTGGAGTGACTGGGATGATGGGAGTTGATCAGAACCAGGTGAAGACAGCCCTGGAGGATTTAGGACAGAGTCCTCTGCAGGCTGGTGGGGCCGGGGTGCTTTGTGAAGTTGGAGGGTTTTTGGAAGGTGCACCTGTATGAGATCTGCGCCTGGAGGGGGAGCGCACTAGATGCGGCAGGGCATATTGAGCTAGAACCTGCTGGCGACGACCCAGACGGGGCAGGAGAATCTGGAGGTACTGGGGGAAGGGACTTGGGCAGGGCTGGAGGGATGTCTAAGGGGATACAAAGCAAGGAAGGGGTTCTAACTAGGGATGAGAAACAGTGTATCTCTAGAGAAATGGGAGAGTGGAGGGGCCGTCTGGGCTGGGTCGGGAGGGGCCGTCTGGGCTGGGTCCAGAGGGCCCTAGGAATATGGATCTCCAGGGATGGACTCTCAGTGGGCAAACATGGGCAGGCGGGGGGTGGGGGTAGGGGGCTTGCGAAAGAGCCCTGCATGGTAGAATCAGAAGACCACAAAAATGAGGGTTGGGAACCCAATGCATCTAGTAGAATGGGAGAAGTGAGACCTCAGGAAGAAGGTACTATAGGATGACGCAGAGAAAGCCAGGGGCCACAGGGGTCTTAAAAAGTCTGGATCTCTGGACCTGTTTGGAGACTAGTAGAATTTGCTGGGCTGGGGTGGGCGTGTGTATGTGTATTTGTGGGGATGCCCTATCCCTGCCTGGCTAGCTTAGCTTCCCTGTCTCCACAGGTACATGCGCCCGTTGCACATGCTCCTAAGCGCTCTGACAATGGTGCTGGCCCTGGGCGGACTGATGTGGGCAGCTGAGACCCGTGCAGCTGTGCGCCGCTGCCGTCGAAACCACCCGGCCGCCTGCCTGGCCGCAGTGCTGGCCATTGGCTTCCTCGTCCTCTGGGTCACCGGTGGCGCTTACACCTTCCTGCTCAGCATCGCCGGGCCAGTGCTTTGTGAGTCCCTCAACTGTGGGAAGGGCCAGCCTGTAATTCAGGCACCAGGCCTGCCCTACCTTTCTTCCTGGGTTAAGGGGGTGGAAACCCTAGGGGACATAACTACACCATCCTTTATACTCTTCTGGGAAATTCCAAGGACCACATCCGGCTAGCAGGAGCCCTCCCTGGCTATGCCCCCGTTTCCAAAATTACTGGGCTACACTTTCAAGATCAGAGGTATCCTGGCCACTCACGATTTCATTGGCCTACCCAGGAGCCAGTTCCCTCCCATGGGCTCCAACTGGCTGTGAGCTAAGGACTCTTCCCACTGACCCCACCCCCTCTCGGTACTGTCCACAGTGATCCTGGTGCACGCCTCCCTGCGCCTGCGCAACCTTAAAAACAAGATTGAGAACAAGATTGAAAGCATTGGTCTCAAGCGGACACCAATGGGGCTGATCCTAGAGGCGCTGGGACAAGAGCAGGAGGCTGGATCCTAAGTTCCTAGGATCTATACCCTGACTGAAAGAATACAACCCCCCAACTCCCACCCAGACATAAGACCCTAACCCTTTTCCCAGCCCTTGATATAGGCACCCTGAGCTCCTTGCCCTCCTCCCACTCCACAAAAAAGGGACAAAACATCAAGCTATCTATGACAGTACCCATCCTGGTCCAAAATTAGGCTCTCCCTCTCTCACATACAGCGCCCATTATCCTGGAAACCACAGCCCTAGACTTGGGACCAACATTGAGCCCCAAATCTGGGGCTCAAGACCAGAACATCCATGCCCAGTAGCAAACTGGATAAGGAGACATTCCTAACCCCAGTCCTCTATCTCCCCTGTTCAGCCTCAAAGCTGGAGCTTGGGGCAAAGTATTGTAACATCTTGACTGCAAGTTCCAAGCATTTCAACCCTCATTCAGGTGGGATCAGACATTCTGACCCTGCTGCTCCTCTGATCCCAGGTGACCACAGTCAGTCCCACTTACTACTCCTCCCACCCACTTACCCATGTATGTTCCAGGACCAAGGGATGGAAGCATATGTATCAGTGTTTGCTGCAACAATAAAAAATTGTTGCTTCTTTCAAGCCAATCCAGGCCTCATGAGTAAAGTCCTTGTGATGTCAGTGAAGAGGCCTGCTTTTCCCTGCTGCTGGAGACTTCCTAGCTGTCAACTGTGTGGATTGAAGGAGTGATCTTTCAAACCCCTTACCTCTGATTTGGTGTTAAAGCATAGAAAGCACACAAGGGTATTGGTTACTATCATTTGCATTATTAAGGACTTCTCGCTTATTTTTAATATTTTCGTTGGAAAGGCAACTTAGATTTACGGAGAGACAAAGGTCTACCATCTGCTGGTTCACCCCTCAAATGGCCACAACAGCCAGAGCTGAGCAGATCAGGAGCCGGGAGTCTCCTCCAGGTCTCCCAAGTGGGTACAGGATCCCAAGGCTTTGAGCCATCCACCACTGCTTTCCAAGCCACAAGCAGGGAGCTGGATGGGAAGTGGAGCAGCTGGAACATTTACTGTCACCCATATCGGATCCTGGTGCATGCAAGGTGGAGGATTCAGCTATTGAGCCACTGCACCAGGCCTACTGTTTTGCATTATTAAGGGTTCTTGTTTGAGGGTGACCATAAATCGGAGCAGAGGCAAAGGAATTGATCCCATCACAAAGCCAGCCACAAGCAGGTGGCACTTTTTATTGCAAAGGCAGATTTGCAGAGAGGAGAGATAGATCTTCCATCTACTGATTCACTCCCCAACTGGCTACAGCTGAGCTGATCTGAAGCCAAGGCCTTCCAAGTCTCCCATGTGAGTATAGGTACGCAAGGACTTGAGCCATCCTCCACTGCTTTCCCAGGGCATAAGCAGAGAGCTGGATGGGAATTGGGGCAGCTGGGACTAGAACTGGCACCCATAGATGCTGGCAATGCAGGTAGAGAATTGGCCTGTTTAGCCACCATTTCAGCCCTAGCAGATGGTACTTTCATAGGCTATTTACACATTTTTCTTCCTGTACAAATACAAGTGGAAGGGAATTGCTGAGCTGCCACATGGGAAGCCTGCATCCCATACTAGAGTGTCTAGTTCTAGTCAGCTGCCCTGGTTCTCACCCAGCTCCCTGCCAATGTGCCTGCACAAGGCAGCAGAGGAAGGCTCCTTCTGTCCTTCTGCCACCCACATGGGAGGCCTCAAATGGAGTTTAGGTTTCCTGCCTTTGACTTGGTCTAGCCCTGGCTGGTTGTTAGGAGAGTAAACCAGCAGATAGAAGGGTTCTCTGTGTTTCCTTCTCTGTTACGCTTTGTCTTGTAAAAACATATATACTTTTTTGTTGTTTTTATTCTTTAACATATATACTTCTATTTTAAAAATTAGGAAACTGGCAAAAACTGATTATCTTTTACCTCCATTTTCTCATGAACTTCTGGCAAGTGCCCTAGTATACTATCCATTCTTAATTAAAGGTGTGGGCCTGCAAAACAAGGCAGATACAGGACCAGTGCATGGGTTCAGTTTGCACATTTATTATAGAAATCCCCTTCCAGTGTGAGTAGTGTCTTGGGCCCAGATCCATTTGTACAAAAAGAAAAGTTGAACACCAGGTTAAGGGGGCAGGGGAACCCCCAACTCCAGAAAATCACAGACAGATATAGAAAACACAGCTTGTGTAGATTCGTTTAAAAAGTGAATGGAAGGAAAGACAAGGAAGACGTGACGTGGCCTGTGGCCCGTGGCCGAACGTCACCTGAGGATTTTATTGGCATCTTTGGATGCCAGGTTCAACCACAGCAGCATCCCAGGACACAACCTGAACCCGCTGGCTCTGCCCCTGGCCCCTCCTATGGTGCCTCCTAATTGGGCATGGTCAGGGCAGAGGCTGAGGGCCCAGACAGCGATGGGGGCTCCTTCGGGCACTACACCCAGAGCCTTTGATCCTTCCAAATGTGAGCATAGTGCCCATCTCCCCAAAAACTGCCCTGGTGGGGAGTGTGGCAGGGAGTCCTGTTCATACCAGAGTCTCCTGGCTGTGCCAAACAGGGCCCCGAGACCCTACCTGGTCCATTCTGTGGGAGGGCGTTCCTGCATGGAATAGGTTGGGCATGGGGACAGGAATGAACCCAACCAGGATAAGATCACAGTTTCCCTTTTTTAATAAAATGCCTAGTGCGGGGGCAGGGTGGGGGAGTAGGAGAAGACAGTGAATACCTAAATCACAACTGTAAACAGAAATGGAGGAAGGGGCGTGGACCCCCCCATGATTGCACTCCTACCTCCTTGAAGCTGGCTAGGGTCCCTCAGTCCCCGGCACAGTGTTAGAGGAGGAGCAGGCTGTCAGTCCCACTCCTGGGCCTCAGGGAGCCAGGGGCCTTGGAAGATGAGCTTGGTGCTACCCCTACCCCACCTCACCCCCTGAGACTGACAGCAGCAGCTCTGTCTCAGGGCTCAACAAGATGAGCTATGTGCTCCCCAGACTGGAGTCATGCCCAGGCCAACACGGGGATGTTATCAGAACCAGGTCAGACCAGCGTCCCTGGAGTCTGGGGGTCAGAACTGGAGGACTGGTCCCCGTCTAGCGTCACATCACTTAAACGAGCACTCAGCTCCGGGGGATACAGGAAGTCCGCGTAGTATCTTTGGAGGGGGTAGCAGGAATCCGGAAGACAGGCAGGGCAGATGGAGAAGAGAAGAAACAGACAAGACATGGAAAGAGAGAGAGAGGAAGAGGCTCATTAAAGAGGTGGAGGCAGGCACAGCACAGCACAGCACCACACTTCTGGGTTCCCAAGCTTGGGGCATGCAGAAGAGGAAGGTGGGCAAGGGTGTGCCTCCCTCTCAGTGGCCTGGCTTCTGTTCAAACCCAGTCTCCAGTAGCCTGCTACAGACCTGCTGTCACCAAGTCCCCGAGCACTAGTGCCAGCAGTGCCCCCCATCACTCCATCCCTACCCCCAGGCTGAGGCTGCCACTTGATTCCTTGTGGGGTCTAAGTCATTAGCTACTGTGTCTGGCAGCTCCCTGGCCTGTGCTGGTAACCTCAGCAGCTACCTCAAGAGACCCCCGAACCCATCAGTAAAAGCACCCTCCTCCGTACCTGCCAGAGACAGGGGGCGCCGTGAAACTCCTCGAGTGTGGGAGAGGCGCCTGGCTCGAAGCCCCGTACTGCGCTTGGCCCACCTCAAAGCAGCGGGAAGGCAGGAAGGGTGGGTGTGGCGGGCCTGCATGGGGAGGCACTGGCCGGCGCTGGGGCCCCGCTGCCAGTCCCGAGTTCCGGATGTACCAGTCCCTCAGCCCCTCCAGGGCAAGATTCTTGTGACCACGTTCACCAGCGGGGGTGATGCGGGTGGGTGGGGGCATCCACAGCAGAGGGTTGGCATGGCCCTCTGGACCCTCAGCAGCCTCTGGGGGCAGGCCACAGGGCTTCGTGCGGGCAGCACGGGTGTGCAGGTCCTTGCTACGGAGGAGGGGGCTGCTACCATCAGTGGCATATGCAGGTGGTGGGCCAGGGACCATGGCCAGGAGCCCATCCCGACGGGACAGGGGTCCTGGGACCTCAGCTGCAGGCAGCAGCTCCCCCCAGCCTGCTGGCCCACTACCACCACGGAGGGGCAGGCCCCGGTCGAGGGCACAGTCCAAGAGGAAGTCCCCACACACAGGTGGGAGGCGGGGAAGCCCGCGGGAGGCAGGGGCAGCTGAGCTAGGCCGGGCTGCTCGGGGAGGGTCTGGGGGACCAGCTGTGCGGGAGGAGAAGGCTGGGGCTGCCTGGGGGCGCTCATATAGCACCTCACTGCTCTTGCAGACTGGGGGGCCAGCAGTAGGGGGGGCCAGGGGGGCAGGTGGGGAGGCAGCTCCTGCTCCAGCTGCCCGGTCCACCAGCAGGGCCTCAGAGCTATTGCTGCGGCGGGTACGAGCTGCGAAGAGGGAGGCGCGATCGGAAGCAGGCTCTGCCCGGGGGAAGCCCATCTGCGAGTCCTGGCTGCCGGACCACTGGCGAGAATGGAGGCCTTCAGGTCTACGGTGTAGAGTGTATCATGGGAGTAGGGTCAGAAAAATGAGGCAGATGGTCCCAGTGCTCTCCCTAGTTCATCTCTTTCATAATCTCCACTCTCACATCTCTGAAATGGGTTCCAGGGCTAGAAGCTGTATGTATTAAGCTGTTAGGGAGTAGCACCAAAAGGCATCAGGGCTTCATCCTGGCCTGGAGGGTTCTGGGCTTGAAAATGTGCAGGGCTCTTGGGGCCATGAGCTCTTAGGAGGCTGTGACTGAAGCACAGGGCTAGAGAGGAAGCCAGCACAAAGGACTCTTGCTAATACACCTGGCGCCTCAATGCCTGCCTCCCGCCTGGTCAAGGCCCTTCTCCCAGCTTGGCATAACTTTCAGGATGCAGTCTTAAGACCTCAGATCTCAGGCCTAGAATTGAAGACCCTGTCTGCGGTCCCTGTCCCAGCCACCAAGAGTGAGAAGCACCTGACAACCCACCCTGACAAGCTATCATTTGTGTAAACCCACAGGCAGAGCAGCCTTGGTTTGTTCACAGCCTGGCCAAAGCAGGCACTGAGCTAAGTGTTTAAGCAGCAGGACAGTGAGAAGAAATAGGGAGCCCCTGCACTGGGTTGATAGCCCAGGAACTCAGTTGGCTAGGAAGCAACTCCAACCTTCCTGTGCTGCTGTTTCCTCATGTATAAAGTGGGAAAAACAATAACACCCCTCAACTACACACACACACACACACACACACACACACACACACACACACACACACACACACCCACACACACACCCAGCTCGGGGAATTTGGCGATGATTCAATGAGCTGGTAACATGGAAAGCACCTGATTTCTAGCAGATGTCTGGGACACACTGGCCAGAATTTTCAACGCCCAGGTATTTCAAGGGCACAATATGCTATTATGCCTGTTTCACAAACAAGGCGGGCGGTGAGGGTGGGGTTAGGGGTAGGGAGGATGCATAGAAAAGCTCACAAACTTTGATGCTTCTGCCCCATACTCCCACCCTATTCTCCACCAAGACAACTTGTCATCTTTTCAGCCCAGCCTCCCATGTCCTCCTGCACCCTACCCAGCACCCTCAGTGAGAACTAATGGCTCCCACTCTCAAAGCCTCCTTACTTGCAGAGCTGAGGGCCAGAGCCCCGGGTGAGCACAGGAGTGGCAGGCACACTTCGCCCCTCAAAGCTGGAGGCACTCCTGGGGAGCGAGCGTGTGGGACTAGATAGAGACAGGTGGGTGGACACTGGTCAGGGATGCCCAACCAGCAGGCCCCCCTGCTAGCCGGGGCTTCTGGGGAAAGGAGGTAAAGGGTTCCCACTCACCTGGTGGGGCTGGCCACAGAATTCCGTCTGCTCTTCAAATCCCCATAAAGATCTGATGGGGGTGGTTTCCATGGGGCTCGCCGCTCGGGGCTCCCCCCAGACACAGTCCGCAGCTGATCCCAGGCTTTGGGTGGTGATGGGCGCTCAGCCAGCGAGAAGCAGCCACGAGGTTCCTCTGGATGGGAGGAAGAAGTAGAATCTGATGAGAGGGGTCCATGGCAGGGTGGGGGTGGGGGGAGCAGGGAACCAGTGGATTACAGCTGTGCTGTAGCAGAAGGGCAGGTACTAAGACAGGTGGAAGCAGACTAGGGAGGAGTGTAGGGGTGAGACAGGGCTAAGTGAGGTGGCAAAAAGGGCCAACAGCTAGGTCTGGGATTGAAGACACAGTGGGGGCATGGAGCGGGGAGGGTGAAGCGACAAGATGGAGGAGGGTCACAGGAAGGAGTGCAGCTAAGGAGGGACTGAGGGGAGAGATGGAGCTGGGCACAGGTCCTCACCATTGTCATGGCTGGCCCCAGACTCGGACAGGGAGCTGCTCTCCGAATGCAGAACTACGTCCTCTACAGGTGAGAAGAAGCAGGCCTGACCCTTCAACTCCTGGTACCACCCCTTTACACCACCGGTTGCACTCCTCCCTGCCCTAGTCCCTCACCAAGAACCCACCTTTAGTGGGCTCCAAGACCACCAGCAGCAGTCTGGGTCCTCCCTTACCTGGTCCCTATGGGTCAGTGTCCCTTCCCTGCAGTCTGCTTTGTTCTGACTTTCTACAGCTTGGATCCCTTAAGTTGCCTTCTGGCTGGGCTTCACCTTTTCACCCACATCCCTTAGCTACTGTCCCTAGCCCATCCTTTTGCTCCCTGGTGAGTCACGGTGGGCCTGGCTCACCTTGGCTGAGCTGATTGAGGCGTGTGCCCAGACAGACTCCCTGGGTAGTCATGAGTGCACTCGTGGGAACTGGCAGGGGCTGGGGCGGTGGGAGCCCTGGGAGGCCAAGGCAAGCTCGCACGTCCCCGAGCTGCTCCTCCAGCTCGTGGAGTCTCCGCAGTGCATCGGCCTGCACCTGGCGCCGGCGCCGGCGCTGCTCTGTGGTCAGCTCAGGAGCCAGGGCCAGGCGGCGGGCAGCGGCTGCGATCTGTTGCTGCACAGATACTTCGCGCTCCAGGGCCTCGAGAGCCAGCTCCTGCAGGGCACAGGCAGAGTGGGACAGGGTGAAGCACTGGGAATGGCCAGGTACACGGCTCAGACCCTCTTCCCAGGAATGAGTCTGTTCACCTCGGGGCGGAGCTCCTCAGTCGTCTGGGGGGAGCGGTGAGGCCTAGCTTGATGAGGGGTGGGGGTTTACCCATCTTCCTGGGGGTGGGAGCCTTAGGCATCAATACTCTACCCCCTCGCCTTAGCAGGAACCCGTTGCATTTAGCCTCTCCCTCCCCTGGCTTCAATGCTGACAGTCCTCTGCTATATCTGTCCTTCCCTGCTGTCAGGCACCTGACACCCATCTGCTCACCTCGGCAGGGCACAAGGAGTGATGTGCTGGGTTGGGGTGTGGTGGAGGGTAGGCACGGGCTGCAGGGGGCCGCCGGCGGACCAACTGGGGCCGCTCACCAGGCTCCAGTGGACACTCAGGGGGTAGGTGGCCAATCAACTCCTGGGGGAGGCAGGGGGCAGAGATGACCAGGGGTTAGCCAAGGGGAATAGGGAGAAACAGTGATGAGCCCAGGAGCGACAAGTCTTCTCAGGAACTGGCACTGTTCAGTACCTCCAATTTGGCCATCTCTCTCCCTCTTCCTGAGCGCTCTACAGGGCAAGTATGCTGTGTGCACCCTCAGCTCTTATTGGCCCAGACTGTGGGGGCAGCAACATGGCAGGCAGGAAGACCTGCTTTGGAATTCAGAATTCTTTAGATTTCTAAAAGTGAGCAGCCTATATACACTGACATCCCAGTGCACTCCTCAGGGTCTGGGTTTGTTTGGACTCAACTACATGACTGAGGACAAATGGTGGCCACTCATGCTGAAAGGGGACAGTGGAAACTACAGATTATCCCCAACATTTGTCCATGGCCTCCTTTGCTGCCAGTCTTCAGAACTCTTTGTCTTTTGAGGTTTGGCCAATTCTAAATTATCAGTAGGGGACTGTGCAGCTGTATCACCCTAGAGGTACAGATTCGAAGCCATGTAAGCCAGCCTTGAAGGAGAGTGAAATACCAGAACATCCACAGTCCAGGCAAGTGGCTTACCAAGTGCTACCTCATTCTCCACACGGGGATGTATGGGACCCAGGCTTCTCATCCCCATCAGACACCCTACCCCTGGAGGGGAAGGGAAGAAGGCCCTCACCGCCTCCTGGAGACACACTTTGCGGAGCTCCTGAAGCTTCAGGCTCAACGCCTCCTGCAGGGCCCGCTGCCGGTCAAGCAGCCCACGCAGCCGCTCAGACTTCACCTGGGGGGCAGCCTCTCCAAATGGGGCAGCTGGACACAGAGGGAGCAGGGATCAGTGGCCCAGCAAGGAGCAACCCTCCCCAGGCGAGCAGGTGGTGATTCAGAGCAGGTGGAGGAGGCAGCAGGAGGGGGAACCAGCTACCAACCTGGGGTGCTGACGGTAGGTGAGCTGATCAGCTGACTTTTGACTTCCATCCTGGTGCTGTCCGGAGGCCGGAGCTGATGGGTACACAAGGCCTGGCAGTGATGCAGAATGCCATTAAGGAAGTTTATCCTGTGATTCCCCTACCACCCATTCCCTGCCAGGTCCCGGCCTGCCACAGCTTCCCATGTCCCAGCTGGAATAAAAAGTACCCTGACCCCACCACCTGCTTCATCTGCCCTCTGGGGACATGTGCTGCCGTCTGGACCCGCTTGGCCCGGTACCTTGGCTCCCTTCCCATGGAGTGGGAGCGCAGCAAGTGGAGAGCAGGGCCGACTTACAACGCCTCCTCAGAGGCCCATGGGCCACAGCCAGGAGTCTTGCCTGGGGAGAGAATTCATGGCACAGATTCAGATAACAACAACAACCAGTACTCATTAAGCACCTGGGTGCCTGGAACAGCTACCCACTGTGCCTCGTTTAATCTTCACAGCCACCCGCTGATGGTGGTTTTCTCATTGTCATATGAAGATGACAAGAAGAAGGGCATATAGAGAGATGACATTACTTATCCACAGCCCAGAACATCCGAAACCCACTCCCTCACTAGAGCTCTGCTTGCTCCAGTCCCTCCAACTTCCTCCTAAGCTCCCTAAGTCCAACAGGCCTCAGGGCTTTTGTTCAGGCTGTGGCTGCTGGCTGGTCGACTGGCTGGTTAAAGCAGAGCATCTTCTCACTGCCCCAGGCCCCTGCTTCTGACGTATCATACTGGGACTTAAATGGCATGTCCTGAAGAAGGCCCTGTGTTAGGACTTTGCAACTGGTGTCCAGTTAAGTGATTATGCCTCTGCTCTCCCGTGTGCCATGAGGACAAGAGACAGATCTGTCCTATTTTCATCAGTAGCTCCAGTGCTGGGAATGCTGCTACACAGCAAGTGCCCAATGTTTGCCAGCTGAACAAATGATGGAGTCAGCGAAGGCTAGTGTAGTTAAGCCAGGGTTCAAGTCCATATTGCTTGCCCTGGTTCTGGTCTTATGGCTCTGGTGCAGCAACTTAAGCATTCCCTTGCTACCAGGGTCCCTCCAGTTCCCCTCTCTCCCTCAGCCTGGCCTCAGACCAGCATGGGCAGTGATCTTGCTGGGCTCTGTGAAAAAGCAGTCTACAGCCACAGATAACAAACCACCTGCCTGCTGCCTCCTTCTCTGTCTCCAGACGCATGGCTGGCAGCCCGTGGAGCTTCCCTGGATGGTCGCCAGCCCTGCCCTTGTCCCCTTGTCTTGAGTTTGCTCCCTCCTCCTCCCACATACTGCTTGTTCCCCAGCTGGGCAGCCGGGTGACATCACCTCCCACCACCTGGCCTATACTTGGTAGCAGGTGACTGAGAGGGCCTAATGGGGCCACAGAGTTCCCATCTCCGCCCACCTGGAGATGCACAGCTTGTCCTGACAGCGTGGCCAGGTATGGGACAGACTCAGGCTACCACAGAGGCCTGGGCCCAAGCCCCTCCCATATCTCTACCTCTAAGGGGCTGCCAATCTTACTGGAGTTCCACACTGACATTGGGTCTGTGCCTCTCCCTGGAAGCAGTGGTGCCCTGTCCTCTGCATTGGGATCAGGGCTCTGACCCGAGCTCTGCGTGGAGGCACTCTCACACCCACCCTCTGAAGGCTGCCAATTTCCAGCGTGGCAGTGTTCCCTTAATGGTTCAGCTCACCCATCACTGCCCCTCAGCTTCTGATGCTCTAATAAGTTCAGCCCCCACTTGGGGTTGGTCAACTGTCCCAGAGCTCCCCTGAATCTTTGCCCACCCAGCAGAAAGCCAATGTCCTCCCCAGATGAGCCCATTCACCAAGTTGTTCTGCCTCATTCCTGCCTTCCCTGGGAACTCAGAGCATCGTGGAAGTCAACATGGGGTCCAGACAGGAATCCCCGCTCCACCTAGTCGGCCTGACCTCAGGGACATAGTTGAGGCATGAATCATGGGGTCACTAGGCAGGCTAGGTAGGGTCAATGCTCCACACCCCCACACCCCCACAGCCGGCTCCCGAACCTCTACCTCTGCTCACCTACCATCTACACACTGGCCTTGGGACCAGGGGCTGCCCTGTCCCCATGAAGCACCAGGTGGTAAGAAGGGGACCCCAGCAGCCCCCTCCCCAACACAACTCCCTTGCCAGGACCTGAGTCTCCCATGGTCCCAGGACCCATCACAGGAATGGACTATAGCAGGAGAGCTACATGGGGCACCCCCCTACACACACACACACACACACACACACACACACACACACACACACACGCCCAAAGGCGGGCCCAGCAGGTTTTTCAGGTCTGCCCTTCTGACACTACAAGCTGAGAAAGAAATTCCTGGCGGTAATGACTGTTTACAACCAAGACACCTCACCCGGGTGGCACCCCCCTCCACCACACTGTGAGCGGACCCCCACTTCTGTATCCTGCCACCACTGGAACACAAACTCCCCAAATCTGGACTCTTGCAGCGGGGGAGGAGGAGAGGAAGTGGGGAAGCAGAATAAAGAAGGGAAACCCATGCTTTCCTCCTCCTTTATTCCTCATTGACCAGTCTGTTCATTTCCGGCCAGGAATCAGTTTTCTGCCAAAAAGGAAACTGGGTATCTTGGGCTTTGCCCCTCGACTCAGGCACTCCTTCCTGGCTGGACCGCCCCCCCATACTGCCCAACAGGCCACTCCACCTCACAGGCTGTTTCCGAGAGGCACTCAGCATGCCTCACCTCACCCCCATGCCCTCATCCCCCGCCACAGGGTCCCAGGTGCTCACCAAAGGCTGAGGATGCTGGGGGGTGGAAGCCTCAGGCCTCTCAAAAGCACAGTTGTCTCTCCCAGGGCCTGGCTTGGTGGGTAGTGGCCGTGAGCAGCAGTGGCGCATGCCTTGGACGCCTCCTACTAGGTAATGGCCCAGCCTACCTGGCCAGAAACTGGGCCGGCCCACCCCTTTTAACCCTTGCCTTGCCTGCCATCAGGGCTAGGGCCATATCCCCTTAGGGTCCCTGGTTTGGCCAAGGAAACAGCCTGGAACTCCCTCTTCCTTTGGATCCCACAGCCCAGAACTTATCTCCCCCCCAATACCCTCCCCGAGTCTCTAGACCCGAGGCCTGGGGCAGAAGGGCTAAGAGTCACGGGAGTAGCAGCTGCCTCTCCTGTTGCCCCAACTAGCAAAGGATTAGAGTCTGCGGACCAGACAACCTTGAAGCTCTGGGGTGGGGGCTTGAAGGCAGCACATTCCGGAGGCGGAGTTGAGAGGCCTGGGCACAGGGCTGGAGAAGAGGGCTAGAGGCATTCAATTCCCACCCTTGCTGGGGAAATAGCCTCAAGTCAGGGCCAGGACAAGCGGGCCTTTCCAAGGAGAGGCCAGGTCTCACAACCCCACCACCTTCCCAGCTGCAGAAGGAAGACCTCCCTGAGGCCCTCTCAAAGCCATGTGTACCTGAACACCTGGTGCTCCCTGAGGTGACACAGGCAAGGCAACTGAGGGCGACAAGTCTCCTGTGCCGGGAATGCTTCCACCCACGGCAATGTAGGAGCTTCCTCTGCCCCACCCAAACCCTGGCCCCTGCAGCAGCCCTGACTCAAGCCAGAAGGAAAGCAAACTGAGGAAAGAGAGGACAGTAGGACAGTGCCCAACCTGCTTGGTGGGCAACCAAGCTGCCTCTCTATTAGCAGCGTCCAAGCACACGGAGGCCTCCTGCCACCCCTGCCCACCTTTCTTCCTGAGTGGGAGACTTCCTGCAAGGGACACAAAGGCCCCTTTCATCACCCTCCCCGCCTCCCCTCCTTCCCTGCCCAGGGCTGCTGAAGACAGGCAGGGAAGGGTGGGCAGATGGCAGTTGGTGGAGGGTGGAGCGTGGGGAGGGGGAGTGTCCTCTCTTCCTTGCCCCCACCTCTTCTTATGGGCCACCGGGGATGTTGGGAACATGGAACATGTTTATAGAACTGGGGCCAAGAGAATGTGGCTGGCAATGCAAACTGAGTCTTAAGGCTTAGGTTTCCTCATCTGTAAAGTGGGGAAAAGGTGGCTAGAGAGACAAAGAGGCCAAAGTAATTTGGGAAGGCATTTTCCCAGTGTAAGAAAACTTAATACCGTGTCATTAACAACTGTTAGTAATAACAGCAGCACACTCCCACAAAAGTAGGCAAGTAGGGGACAGTAGGTAACTGGACCTTGCGGGCCAGGCAGACAAGTGAGAACAGTGATCCACACACGTCATTGCCCCGTGCACAACCTTCAACAGCCCCACCATGACGCCTCTCCCCAGGCGGGTCCTCAGCCTCACTCGGCTCTCATGGCTGGTAAACGGGGGATCTGGGATTCTCTGCCCTGTAGTGCCCACATTACTGCTTGGACAAGTTACTTAAGCTCTCTGGGCCGCCATGTCCTTATCTGCTAAATGGCTATAAGGATAATGATCTGGAACTCACAGGGTTGCTGTGAGCACGAGATGAGTTCATACATTGAAAGCCTGCATGGGCCCGTGCCCAGCTCATGCGAGCTGCTCATTATCTGCTAGCTGCCACATCTCGGGTATTCCTCTTTATACAAATACACATTTTCTTTGACTCAGGGTCCTGTAGCAGAGATAGTGTTGAAAGCCCATGACTCCAAACCAGGGCTCCATGTGTTCAGGGATCTTTGAGACAGAGTCTATATCCCTTTAACCCCTAAACCCTCCACACTCACTGCCCAGATATGCAAGTCCAATCAGATATACTTGAAACAGAGCTGTTTTCCCTCATGATCTGATCTCTCCCTACTCACCACTAAAAATGTATGATACAAATATATTCAGATACATGGCCAGAAGTCTCACTACCCAAATATAGGAACTAAGGGTACACAGAAACATTTTGAGCTAGAATAGTTACCCTCTCTCTCTCGTGCATACTTTACTGACCACACAAAGTGTAAGAACCTGATAGATACACCTAACAGGGTACCCTTGCTATTTCAACTTCTTGCCCTGGGAGCTCAGGGGAGTGAACAGCAGAGATCTGGACACAGTTCACAGAATCATCACGGGAAGTTGCCCTAATCATTATGTAAGACATGACAATTAGGGGACAGTGCATTGGCTCAACTGACTAATCCTCCACCTCCAAGTGTCAAAATCCCATTCATGTCCTGGCTGTTCCACTTCCCATCCAGCTCCCTGCTTGTGGTTTGGAAAAGCAATGGAGGATGGCCCAAAGTCTTGGGACGCTGCACTCACATGGAAGACCCAGAAGTTCCTGGCTTCGGACTGGCTCAGCTCTGGCTGTAGCTGCTATTTGGGGAATGAACCAGCAGATGGCTAAATCTTTGCCTTGCATGTGCCAGGGCCCCATATGGGCACCAGTTTGTGTCCTGGCTGCTCCATTTCCCACCCAGCTCCCTGCTTGTGGCCTGGGAAAGCAATGGAGGATAGGCCAAAGCCTTGGGACCCTGTACCCACATGGGAAACCCTGAAAAAGCTTGGGATCAGCTCAGCTCCACACGCTGCAGGGAGTGAACCAGTAGATGTAAGATCTTTCTGTCTCTCCTCTCTGTATATGTGCCTTTCCAATAAAAAGTAAATAAATCTTTTTTTAAAAAGGAAAACAATGTAAGCACAAAACATAAATGAGTGACACATTATCCTCTTTTTATCCATATCCTCCTCATCTATTCTCAGAATCAAGGAAGAGTGCAAAAGATGGCAAAGGAAGCCCATATTGTATTTGTCATCATTGAACTTGCTGGATGGACCTGACTCTGACCCTGGGTGATTACCTGTCCCATCGCCTTCCCCCCAGACCAGCCTCACAGAGGTGAGGTGGTTTTGGCACCCAGATGTTCACTGCCTACTGCCAGAAGAAAAGGGAATAAACTGAGCTGATCTGAAGCCAGGAGCACAGAGCCTCTTCTGTGTCTCCCACGCAGGTGCAGGGTTCCAAGGTTTTGGGCTGTTCTTGACTGCCTTCCCAGGCTGCATGCAGGGAGCTGGATGGGAAGTGAGGCCACCGGGATTAGAACAGGTGCCCATACGGGATAGACACAGCTCCAGCTATTACGACCATTTGAAGAGTGAATCAATGGCCGGAAGATCTTCCTGTCTACCCTCCTCTCTGTATACCTGACTTGCCAATAAATAAATAAATAAACTAACTAAATAAATAAATAGGAATGAACTATCAAATCCTGAAGCCTCAGACCTAGAACAGATTTTTTTTTTTTTTTTTTAATGGCGAGGAAAGCATAGATCACATACCCAGGATCAAGACCAGGGAATGAAGGTAATGTGACCTAGATGATTCATCACACTGGTGGGTCCCCTAACATCTGCATATTTTCTCAACTTCTGCCCCTATCACGAGACAGCCCCCAATGAAGCACAGCCAGAAACATGACCCAGACCTTTCAGGCTCTCAGACTTGTAGAGAATCACTGAATAATTTAGAATATTCTTTCACACATGGGGAGGGCAAGGAGCATCCCAATAGTTTCTTGTCTTCCTAGGGCAGTAAGAGAAACAACAGCTCTATGGGAAAGCACTGGGGTGGAGGTCTGGGAAACTACACAAAAACCCCACAAGCTGCACAAAATTCACAAAGCTGTTCCCTCTTATTAAGGAGAACATGTCAATGAACTTCCGAAGTGCTAGGAACCGTCATGTTCATGGGCAGGGAATAGTGGGACCCCTGCTCTGAGCTCAAAGTGGGCTGGGAAGCAGGTGTTAGGAAGAAAGGAGATCTGAACAGGGTAGAAGGGTGTGACAAAAGGTGGCAGAGCCAAATGAAGAGAAAAGAAAGGATTACAGTGAACCAGACAAAGTTATCTTGGGATGGAGGTCAAACAGTAAGACAGGGAATGAGTCATAATGCTGGTTAGGAGATGAATGCACTAGGGTTCAGGACAGGGACAGAGGCAAAGTACAACAAAGGGACAGCAAGGCAAGTGACAGGTGCAGCACAGAACAGAAGCCAGTTAAACTGCTCAGCATCCCATATGGGTGCAGGCTCCAATCCCAGCTGCTCCACTTCTGATCCTGATACCTACTAATGCACCTGGGGAAGCAGCAAAGGATGGTCCAAGAACGTGGTCCCTGGCACCAATGGGGGAGACCCAGATGGAGTTGCAGCTTCCTGCCTTTGACGTGGTCCAGCCCCATTTGGGGAGTGAACCAATGGATGGAGGGCCTCTCTATCTGTCTCTTCTTCTCTCTCCAGCTCTACCTTTCAACTAATACGGTTTTTGTTTTGTTTTGTTTTAAGAACAGAACCCAGAATGATATGACTGGGACAGGCCAAGCCAGTGGTCAAAAGAAGAGATAGGAACAGGAATCTGAAAAGACCAGGACAGAGAGAGGACAGGAATGAAGAAGGTGATGATACAAGAAAAGGGGGGGGGGGAAGTAGGACAGGGTTAGCACCACGGCAAGAGTTAGGGGGTGCATACAAAAGGAAGGTGGCAAACTGGGATGAAGACTGGAGTGAAGAAAAGGACTCAGGGATATAGTACAGCATGGGGTGAAAGTAAGGAAGTCATAGGTTAGGAATCAGGACAGAACTGGATAAGATAAACTAAAAAATCAACATGGGAAGGGGGTTCATGGATTGGATAAGAGTTAAGGGGACAGGTCAAGCACCAGGACAAAAACTGGGGTTAGTGTTGGGCATCAGGACAGAACAAGATGGACTTCAGAGCTGGGGCAGAGTTAGTCAAGGATATGCAATCAAGTCTTTGATCCTATGGACACAACTGGGGTCTGCACTGAGTTTAGGGGGACAAGAGGATGAAGATCCCATCAGGTCAGAATGTGGTTAAGTTAGGGATCAAACCAAAGGTCCTGAAGCCAAAACCTGCAGGGGGTTGAGATAAAAAAAAAAAACAGCTAGTCAGGTCCGAATGGGTCTGGAGTGAGGCCGCAGGGTCACAGGTCGCGGATATCAGCACAGGTACACCCTCGTCAGCGTTTCCGGGCCCTCAGCTCGCTCAGTCCCTTCCCTGGCTCTCCAACTGGGGTGTAGTGTGGGGGTGTCTTACTCACCAGAGGTCCTCACCCGCAGGCGAAGGAGGGGTCGGAGCAGGCCAGCAGGAGTGGTGGGCGCGCCCCGTCCCTGGCTGCGCCCTGCTCGTCCCCGGGCGCGCGCCTTCGCCTTCTCTTCCGTGCCCTGCCCGTGGGCCACGCTCAGCCGCGCGACTGTGAGTCGTAGTGACCAGACGGGGGTCGCCGGGAGGGTGCGAGCGCCGATCAGGTCGCCGCCCCTCACCCTGCACTCGGGGCGCGCCCGCCCCCAGCGGCTCGGCCACCTCGCCACCGAGCGCGAGCCTTGGGGTGGGAGGGTGGGGGGCGGGGCGCGAGACCACAGCAGCGGCGAGCACCAAGTGCGCAGGCGCCAGGTCGGCTGTTCGATTTTCCTGCCCTGGGAGCGCCAGGAGCGAACCGGCTAGGAGCGCGTGCGCACAGGCTTTCTCGAGGGCGGCCAAGTCCTCCCCCAACCCCGTTCGGACCACGCCCCCTCGGCCAGCTGACAGGCACCCCGCACAAGTCACCCTGCAAGGACCCCCAGGCGGTACAAGCGGTACTTAAGCTACTCTCTATAAGCCCTCACATCTCTAAACTCTCCAGTTGCCATCGCTGCATCTCCAAATGCAGCGCATATCACGCTCTATCATCCCCCAAATTCCATCCCCAAAGAAAGTCCTGTCCACTGATCCTGAGCAGTACTTCTGAATCATCTCCCATGGGCATCCAAGCTGCACAAATAAACCACTCCCTCTTGACTTTCAAGCTTTTTCCAAATCACATTATATCAAAGTAAAGCTATAACCTTTAAATTGCCCATTATAGCTATCAAAATTACACCCAGATTAACTATTGTCTCAAATGCACCCCAAACTGTGTCTCAGCAATCTCCAAATCTCTCTCCATTTATCTCTGGATTTCAATATTCAAATTTTCTAAATTGTCTTCCTCCTCCTTCTTCTTTAAACAAATGCATTCTCCAGTTTAATCTGATCTGCCACAAAGAGAGCACTGGAATTTTTCTCTATATCCTAGTGTAAAACAAAAGAGCAAGACCACATTGTTCAAGGTCTATCAGTGGATACAGAAAACTATCTTCCATCATTCCCAAATTATATCCCTAAATTACTGGCCATTGATCCTAAGTAGTATCTTCAGTCCATCCTGATGGACACTCAAACTGTGCCAGTAGGCTACCTTCCACTACCCCCAAGCTACCTACAATCAGCCCATATGCTATTAATCTCCAGACAACACTTCCAAATCATCCTCCACCTGTATCTCATATGCACACAAAACACCCTCCGTTGATCCCAAACCATTCTCCTTGTGCCCTCTGACAGCACACTATTGATCCCCCAAGTGGCTCCCCAAGAGCCCCCAACACCACTACAAACATTATCAACTCGCCCTGGATGTGTCTGCTTCAACCTTAGCTCAACTCAATTTCAATTATCACCTGCTTTATCTCCAAATCACCATCAAACCGCCTTCTGCTGACCTCTCCTTTCCTCATCAAGTCACCTTCCCAGATCCCTGGTCACTCACCTGCATGCTCCTGACTGCACTTTGTGCAGTTTCCCATGTAGACCTCCAAGCAGCTCTCCGCTGATAAAGCTACTCTACGATGATCCTCACAGAAATGATTTTTCAAGTAACAGAAATGATTTTTGCTATAGTTATCAAATTGAAACATCAAATCATACTCTGGTGGCCCAAGATATGTCCTCCAAGTCTTCCAGTGACTCAAGTGGATTCCAAACCATACTTTAGTGATCCAACTTACAACAACAAAAGACTCTCTAATGATCTCTAAAAACTTACTACTTGACATATTTTTAAGTATGATAAAAGTCAGCCATTTTTAATCTATGTAAACAAAAATGTGCAAAACCACCATAAAACAGCCACAGGTTTAGAGCATTTTCAATCCACTTAATCAATTCTCATTCTCATTCCCAGCTATAGGCAAACTTACATGATCAAGTCATAGATCCTCAACTTTGGTCTCTATAGATTTGCCTTTCCTAAACATTTTATATATAATATGTGGATTTTTCTGTTTGGCTTCTTTCTCTGAGCATAACGCTTTTGAGGTTCACCTGTGTTGTAGCAGTTTTCAGTACTCTGCTTCTTAGTAGTTCCCCAGCTACAAACTACAACAGTCCTTTGACACCCAGCTTACAAAACAGGCTTCCCATATGTTGGCAGTGAAAAACTGGGCAAACGGAGACTCTAAGGTGGACTATGTCAATCAGTGGATTCTGCAGCGACCTCATCATGCTTGGAGCGGTGAGACTGGCAACAATTCATAACTGTCGAACTATCAAAACCACTTGAGTAGGACCCTCAGAGCATGCCTCACATTGGGGACCTGGAATGGGTGGGAGGCTGGGTGGGGCTTCTCTCTTTATCTCCCCCTTTACCTCAGATACAGGGAAAAAATGTGGAAATAATAGTCTTACCCACTTTACTGTAGCCCTTGAACCTTTGTGCTATAATTAACTATGTAAAGATTGTAAAAAATAAAGAAAAATGAAAAAAAAAAAAACACAGGCTTTCCAACATTTGCACTTGTTAACATACCTGTGTTGGGACAGGCATTTGGCACAGTAAGATGCTGCTTGGGATGCCTTCATCCCTCAGGGAAGTGCTTGGTGTCCCAGTTCTGCCTCTGATTCCAGCTTCCTGCTGTTGTGCACCCTGGGAAACAACAGATGACAGCTGAGTCTCTGCCACTCACATAGGAGACTCAAATTTCACACTTCAGCCAATTCAGCCCTGGCTGTGGCTCTCATTTACAAGGGGAAACAGTAGATGAAGGCTCCATGCTCTCTGCTCTTCAAATAATAAGCAGGTATTTTTAAAAAGATGTATTTTATTTTTATTGGAAAGGCAGATATACAGAGAGGAGAGACAGAGAGGAAGATCTTCCATCCGATGATTCACTCCCCAAGTGAGCACAACGCCGATGCTATGCCGGTCCGAAGCCAGGAGCCTCTTCCGGGTCTCCTATGCGGGTGCAGGGTCCCAAAGCTTTGGGCTGTCCTCTACTGCTTTCTCGGGCCACAGGCAGGGAGCTGGATGGGAAGTGGGGCTGCCGGGATTATAACTGGCGCCCATATGGGTTCCCAGGCGTGCTAGGCGAGGACCTTAACCACTGCGCCATCGCGCCAGGTCCAATAATAGGCAATTTTTAAAAGATGCCTGAGTCCTGTGTCAGAGTTCAAGCCATACACAGATTCCGGCTCACTCATGACTCCAGCTTGCTGCTAATGCAGTCCCTAGGGAGGCAGTGGTGATGACTCAAGGGATTAGTTTCCTGATACCTACGTGGGAGAACTGGATTGGGTTCCTGATGGCTTTGGATTCCTATTGAGGCCATTCCAGTCATCTGAGGAGTGAGCCAGTGCCACTTCTCAAATAAATGAACAAGCAGGCCCCCAAAATGTTCTTCAGACTACATCCACAAACTGTCAACTCACTATACCCTCAACCACTGCATTGATCTTTGGTCAGCATTCACCTGTTCTTCCTGAGCCTCATCTTTATTCTTAATCCACCTCCTAACATCTCCCATCACACTCTCAAGTGGCCAATTGTCAACTCCCAAGAATATCCCCGAAGTAATCTTTTGGTGATATGCAACACTACTCTCCAAAACTTATAATCTCCTTCCAAAACCACCCTGCCAACAGCCACCAAAATCTCCCTCTGAATACCCACCAGCTATCTTCTCTTGGTCCCATAACTGCAGTCCCAAATACTAACCCCAAACCATTCATCAAAGGTTACCAGGTCCACCTTTATTTTAAATTATGTGCAACTATACCCACAGAAATCTACCAAAATTTTTCACAATCATACCACTTAAACCACTATCCAATAAATCCCAACCACTCGCTAAACTGCCCATCAATAACCCCTGATGTTACCTGCAAATATTCCTCATTTATCTTCCTGGTCTCCAACTACACCTCCAAATCACCCTTAAGTGACCCCACCCTGCAGTAACCCTACTGCAATCTTCCCTTTGATAATTCCAAGTATACACAAATGACTGTTTTCCAATAAATCCTAATTATATCCTCAAACAATCTCAATAACCCCCAAGCTCACCCCTAAGTTCTTCTAGCGATCTCCAGTTCTACCCTCAATCTATCTTTATTAATTTACTGCAGCGGCTATAACTGATTCCCACATACTTGGTGGTTTAAAGTAACATAAATTTTATTCTTTCACAGTCTGGGAGCCTGAAGTCCAAAACCAATTTCCTCAGGTCAAAGTCAAGGTGCCGACAAAACTGGAGCTCCTTTGGAGGCCTTAGGATACAATGTTTTTGTGCATCTCCCAGCTTCTGGTGGTTTGTGACGTTCTTTGGTCTATGACACAATCTCTGTCTTCATGTCCACATTGTCACCTCCTCTTCTGTTATTCAAGTCTGCTTCTACCTACCTCGTGAAAGAGCACTTGTAATCATATTTAAATCTGCCCAATAATCCAAAACTATCTCTCCCATTTCAAAACTTTTTTTCCCCAAAACGTTTAATTGCTTCTGCCAAATCCTTCCCCATATAAGGTAACATGCTCCTCCAGACATTAGGATGTGGGCATTTTTTGGGAGGACCTTTGTTCAGCCGACCACACACAGTGTATCACACTATTCTATGACAGTGAACAACTCAACTCTTTTAACTACCTTACCAAAGACTCGACTATATTGATAAACACCCATTGTTTCCCTACAATCTCCCTAACTGCACCCCACACCGTCTTCCAATGCCCCAATTGTATCCCCAGTCCATTCCCCAACAGCTCTCACCTGCACCATCACACTGTCCTCTAGCATTTCCACCCTTCCAGAAGAACTTTAAAGGATCTTTCAGTTGCATCCAAACTGTCTTGTCATAGAACCACAACATCACCCCCAAGTCACCCCTAATCACCACTTATATCCACCTGTAAACACCATAACTTAACCATCAACTATCCTCTCACCTCCCTCCACAACTCCTTTTCACTTCAACCCACAGTAGTCTTGCAATGAAACCCCAGCTGCAGCAAGAAAGCAGTTAAAGCCACTGTTTGCAATGCTGGCATTCCATATGTGAATGTCAGTTCAAGTCCTGGTTGCTCTGCTTCTGATCCACCTCCCTGCTAAAGTGCCTGGGAAAAAGCAGAGGATGGCCCAGGTGTTTCAGAGACTGAGTGGAGTTCCTATCTCCTGGTTTTAGTCGGGTCCAGCTTTGGCTATGCAGCCACTTGGGGAGTGAACTAATTAACGGAAGATCTCTCTTTCTTCCATGCCCCCCACCCTTCTTCTCCCACCCCCATGTCACTTCGTCATTCAGATACACAAGTATTTGAAGAAAAGAGAGGAGAGAGAGAGAGAGAGAGAGAGAGAGAGAGAGAGAAAGGAAGTTGAGAGGAAGAGACTATGAAAAGAGAACTTGAGAAAGATGTGGGCACATTGTACAGGCTATGAACAGGAAAGCATTTGTCTCACTTGTCATAAAGACCTTTGAGCCGTGTGTGTGAAGCTGCTGTTTGTAGGACGAGGGTGTGTGACAGGATAATTAAGCCTGTAGATGTAATGCTTTAAATATTTGCTCCCAGTCTGTCGCAAGTTTTTTCACTTTGCTTGTGGCATCTTTCGTCAGACTGTAATTTTCTACTTTGCCGTGGAATGGACAGGCTGTACAGCATGGAGCTGTGGAGTGCCTGGCCCCATACCCTAGGTTTGACGATCTGCAGTGAGCTTGCAGTGGGAAATGATTTCACTTTGCTGCACCTAGCTGCCTGGATGTATAGGCTGGCTAGCAAATGGAATCCTCTTCAGAGATCTGTTGTGAGGATGAAAGTGAATTCATGCAGACAAAAACAAAACAAAACAAAACAAAAGCCAAGAATGACCAATGACTGTTGGCTATTGCAATTTTCTTTGTATCTATTGCTTTATTTTAAGCTTCCTCTTTTCTGCCCTGAACCTGAAGCATACCTTCCAGAAATACTTTGTCCTAACATTTTTATAGCTTTGCTTTTTATGTTTATATCCCTCGCCAGTCTGGAATCAATGTTTCTGCATTGTGAAACAGGCATCTAATCTCTTCCCTGCAAGATAGTAATTTCTCCCCCAAGCCATTTTTTTTTTGTCATAGTGCCTCTCTCTCCCAGTGAATTGAAATATTATTTTTTAAAGATTTATTTATTTTTATTGGACAGGCAGAGTTACAGAGAGAAGAAGAGAAAGAGAGAAAGATCTTCCGTCTGCTGGTTTACTCCCCAGATGGCTGCAATGGCTAGAAATGAATCAATCTGAAGCCAGAAGCCAGGAGCTTCTTCTGGGTCTCCCACGTGGGTGCAGGATTCCAATACTTTGGGCCATCCTCCACTGCTTTCCCAGGCCACAAGCAGGGAGCTGGATGGGAACTGGAGCTACTGGGATACAAACCAGTGCTCATATGGGATCCTACGCGTGAAAGGCGAAGATTTAGCCACAAGACTCCCATGCTGGGCCCAAAAAAATCATTTTTATTATTCGCTGATTTTAGACTGACATTTAGATTTTGCTGTTTTTTATTTGAAAAGAAAGGAGAGATAGAGACAAAAACAGAGACAGAAAGAGAGACATAACTTCTATTTGATGATTCACTTTCCAAATGCCTGAAAAAACTTAGGGTGGGCCAGGCTGAGATCGAGAGCCCAGAACTCCATCTGGGTTTCCAAGGTGGGTGGCAGAGATCCAACTACTTAAATCTGCTGCTTCCTAGGGAGTGCATTAGCAGGACATTGAATTCAGGAGAAAAGTCGGGGTTTGAACCCTGGCATGCCAATATAGGATGCAGGTGTCAAACACTCACCCTCATTTTTTTAAGTCGTTGATTTAAAAAGCCAAGGATTGTATTTTTTTTTTTCATGGCAGAAATAGACACACATTCCCCCAAATGACCACAATAGTTGGGGTTGGGCTAGGCTATAAGGAGAAGGCAGGATCTCAATCCAGGTCTCCCACATGGGACTCCCAGAGTCTGCATTAGCAGGAAGGTACTGCTGAAAATTCAACCCAGGTATTCTGACGTGTGCATTAGCAGGAATCTTTTTTTTTTTTAAGATTTATTTTTATTATTTTTTTATTGGAAAGGCAGATATACAGAGAGGAGAGACAGAGAGGAAGATCTTCCATCCGATGATTCACTCCCCAAGTGAGCGCAACGGGCCAATGCTATGCCGGTCCGAAGCCAGGAGACTCCTCCAGGTCTCCTACGTGGGTGCAGGGTCCCAAAGCTTTGGGCTGTCCTCCACTGCTTTCCCGGGCCACAGGCAGGGAGCTGGAAGGGAAGCGGGGCTGCCGGGATAGAACCGGCGCCCATATGGGATCCCGGGCGTGCAAGGTGAGGATCTTAACCACTGTGCCACCGCGCCGGGCCCCAAGAATCTTGATTGGAAGCAGAGCCTGGACTCAAACCAGGTGCTCTGAAATGGGATATGGACATCTCAACATCTGTGCCAAACAAATGGCTACCCCTGAGAAAAATTTTTTTCTTACTGTGAGCCACACTTCATTTAGTCATTTTGAAAAGATTTATTTGTTTTTAATTGGAAACGCAGACATACAGAGAGGAGGAGAGACAGAGAGGAAGATCTTCCATCTGATGATTCACTCCCCAAGTGGCCGCAATGGCCGAAGCTGCACCGATCCAAAGCCAGCAGCCAGGAGAACACTCTTCAGGGTCTCCAACATGGGTGCTGGGTCCCAATGCTTTTGGCTGTCTTTCATTGCCCTCCCAGGCTACAAGCAGGGAGCTGGATGGTAAGTGGAGCTGCTGGAATATGAACTGGCGCCCATATGGGATCCCGGCACGTGCAAGACGAGGACTTTAGCCACTAGGCTACTGTGCCAAGCCCTATTTAGTAATTTTTATTCACAACTGAAACTTTTGAAACTCAAAGTTAACATCCTCACTTGTGAGCTTCTTAGAGATACAAGAGAAGTTCCCAGGGCCAGCACTGTGGCATAGCAGGGAAAGTCACTGGCTGTGGCACTGGCATCCCATGTGGGTGCTGGTTTAAGTCCCAGCTGCTCCACTTCTGATCCAGTTCCCCATTAAAACATTTCAGAAGATCAGTGGAAGATAGCTCAAGTGCCTGGGTCTCTGCACCCACATAGGAGACTGGGAAGAAGTCCCTGGCTCCCAGCTTTGGACTGTCTCTGTTCTGGTCATTATAGCCATTTGGGAAGGGAAACACCAAATGGAAGACCTCTCTCTATGTCTCTCTCTCTCTCTCTCTCTGTAACTTTGCATTTTAAATAAATACTTTTAAAGAGAAAGAGAGAAAGTTTCCATTTTATGCTCTGCATTATTCTACTGTGCATTGGCCAGATGAACCCTTAGGAGCCGGCTGCCATCCGTCACACACACTGCTTGGGTCACGATTTCCCATAGGGACAAGCAGGCCTCAGGGACAGCCACCTGCATGGCTGTCAGCATGTGCCTTCCAGTACACTGTCACTTATTTTCATTTGGCTTCTCCAAGTTGATTTTGGCATAATTCTCCTCTGAGCAATACCGACCACATGCTTCATATTACCCACTTTGTCCCATTCACAGACGAGCTGGATTCAAATTGACTGCAAAGATTTGAGTTGAGAAATGGGAACTAAGCTAATGACAGCTTTCTGGCCACCAGCAACTTGGATTTCCTTGGTAGCTGTGAAGTTCAGCTTCAGCAGCTTATCTTGGAGGTCTGAGTTCATCTCCAACTCTGGGAGCGCCTGGGAGATGACTACTTTAAATTCCTCTGGTTTTTCATTGTTGGATTCAGAGATCTGGGTGCTCCAGGTGAACCTGGCTTCTCCCAGTAGAGCGCCAGCTGAGGAAGAGCTGAAGAAATCCATATGCAATGAGAGAAAAATTGCAATTCTGACAGCTTTAAGGCATCATCAGAATCTTAACATCTGACTTACAAGTTCCGTTTTAGAATTTTGATTGAAATGTATTGAGTTTTTAAAATTACAGTAGGATTTATTAAACAAAACAAAATCACTGATTGAAAGGGGATATATACTTTTATTATCCAAATTATGAGACGACTTTAACAAACAAGCTATTATGTTAAATATCTACATTATAGAATGCTTGAAAAAAATTTTTTGCATTCAGTTACCTGAGCAACAAGGTAAATATCTTAATGGACTGAGGTTTTGTTTAAATGCTGGCTTAAAGTGATTCGATTATACAGGTATGGCATTGTTAGATGCAAACACCACTGACAGATAATTGGATTAATACCATGCTCTTCGATGTTTTTAAAGGCCAATTTGGGGAACAACTGTCATATCTTTCTTTATTAGGTAGAGCCTTCCCCTTTACTTCTGCAAGGCAGTGAATTGTCAGTGTACAGATTGTGTACTTATTAAACCGATGGACAGATTTAGGGAATTAAAGGTGCAAGGCCAATTAAGCTCTTGTTGTGCCAATTTATAGCATGATAGCATGGTCTTTTTTTTAAGATTTATTTATTTTTATCGGAAAGTCGGGTTTACAGAGAAAAGAAAAGAGAGAGGAAAGATCTCCCATCCGCTGATTCACTAAGTGGCTGCATTGGCCGAAGCAGTGCTAATCCTAAGCCAGGAGCCAGGAGCTTCTTTCACGTCTCCCACATGGGTGCAGGGTCCCAAGGCTTTGGGCCGTCCTCGACTGCTTTCCCAGGCCACAAGCAGCGAGCTGGATGGGAAGTGGGGCTGCCTTGTTTAGAACCGGCGCCCATATGGGATCCTGGCACATGTAAAGCAAGGATTTGGTATCCACTAAGCTACCGTGCCAGCCCCAGAGCACCGTCTTGGGATGCTGTGAAGGAGGGGAACGCTGGGGGTGCAGGTGGTTTGTAAGCTGTGTGCACCTGAAAGTATGGACAGTACCTTGTACTGTGTGCAACATTGACTACCACCCAGAGGGAGTCAGGACATGTTGAATGAATGAACAAATGAGCCAAACAAGTTTTGACGAGCATATTGTATGTCCCGCAACCTGGCAGAGCTTTTCATAATTTACTCCCAATAACCCTTGCCAGACAGGTATATGACCCCTTCAGTGATGAGCTGGGAAAGCTGAGGAGGCTGACAAAGGGGAGGGGCCGTGCCGAAATTAAACCCGGCCCCTTACGATTCCAGAAGTCATTCACAGGAAGGAGTAGATTCAAACTTCACCCAGGTATGCATTCATCCATCTGTCAGGGATTTAGTAAGCATCTATTGCGCGGCCCAATGACCATAGTCCAACCACCGCTGTAGAAGCCATGCAACAGGGGAAGGGCTGTCTAGATCAGCCGGGCGGCTGGACTACGGTGTCTGGAAGGGCGGGGTTTCTGGCCCCGCACCTCCAGGGGATGTCTCTGCCTTTTGCTTAATCAGTTATGCCTTCATCCAGGGAGTAAAGCTAGATCGGGGCCGGAGCGCGGTGTAGGACACAAATACTGCAAATATTGGCCGAAAGGGAGCGCCCTTCCACAGCCATAAACTTGACCTGGACACCCTTTCCGCGCCGACCAGCCATGGGCGCGCAAGCGCCAAGCAGTCCAGGAGCCACTTAATCCTGTTCGGGGAGGCGGGAGGAGGGGTAATTTGCGAGGAGGGGGCGTGGCTCAGAGCAAGACGCAAACAGGAGGTGTGACTTAACCAAATCACATCTAGCCTATTTGTTTCAGCGGCTGAAGGCGTGGCCTAAGGGCTCCATTCTCGGAATCAGGCCGAGCCGAATCTAGTTTTCTCTCTGCCTAAGAGGCGTGGCTTAGGGCGGGCCCTCGAATGGCGCTCATCGATTGGCTGCCTCACTCAGGGGGTGTGACCCGATGAACCGTCCATCCCCTCTGCGGTCACTTCCTGTGGAGTTTCCCCAGCCCGAAGAGGAGGGGGAAGAGGACGAGAGGGAGGAGGGCGGTCGTCCGGGGTTAGGTTGAGGGGGGGTGTCGGTCCGTTCAGGGCGGGGGATGACTCACGGCCCATCCCATCTTTCCGACGCCGCCCGCCCGCGCAGAACCGGCTCCATGGCTTAGCAGAGGAGGCGGTGGCAAGCAGGGGGGAGGGAGACTTTTATTTTGTTAGGGGGACCGGGCCGAGGCCCGACCAGCCTGGCAGGGCTCGCCCGGGGCCGGGCGTCATGTCTCATGCAGCCGAGCCAGCTCGGGACGGCGTAGAGGCCAGCGCGGAGGGCCCTCGAGCAGTATTCGTCCTATTGGAGGAGCGCAGGCCAGCCGAATCGGCCCAGCTGCTCAGGTGCGGGGCCGTCTGGGGCCGGGAGTGCAGACTGGGGTCTGATCTCGGGGCAGCGGGAACTTGAGACTAGGATTGGAGGCGCTTGGCCTAGCGTTTGAGGACGTTGGGGCACCCGTCTTGGGCCGGCATGTGCGGGAGGCACCTAACGAATCCGGCAGTGGCCTGCGGGGGAACCAGGCTTAAGGGAGTCAGGGGAGAGCAAATTTGCTGATTTGCGGGGGCTCTTGACTAGAGTCTGGAGGATCTGATTCAGGAGTGTGCAGAACCTGCTAAACTTGAGGGACTGCAAGTTTGATTAGAAACTGAATTTGGCGTCTTTGCGCTGGGCATCAGGGAAGTAAATGGGGGGGGTGGGGAGCACTGCCAGATGAGGCACTGATCGATTTTAAGGAAATCCTGGATTTTTTTTCCCCTTCAATATTGGAAGAGGGGTCCTTGGGCGTATGGAGGTGCTGTCTTAGGAGCTTGGTGACTTGCAGTGACTACTAGCTGTGTTTGGCAGGAACATGAATCGGTTTTGGGGTGTCACTGATTTTGTGTGCGTGTGTGTATGTATGAGCAAGACTCAGAACAGTCACAGTCGTCTTACCTCTGCCTGCCCACTCAACCCACTGGGACAGTGGGAAAGTCCTCTTCTCACACTGCTGAGGGCTTTGAATGGGTAGGGGCAGCTGGACACACAGAGGGCATGGGGAAGACGTTATTTCTCAGCCCAAGGAAGGCCTTAGAGCTGATGGTGGAGCCTGGAGGAGGGTCTTGGGGCTGCTAGCACTCCCTCTAGACTCCCAGGCACCCCTACCCACGCAGCCCTGTTCCTTTGACCTCGCCCTGCCTGTGCATCCCTCCTGCCCGATGATCTTGAATCCTTCCCTAGAAGTGGGGCGAGTGCCTACAGCGGGGTGGGGGGGGGAAATGACGGAGGGGGGGCATGTCTGGGTGCGCCTTCTCATCCTTACTTCCTCAACTGAGAGAGCTTCTGGGGGTTGGGTTCCAGTTCTTCCTGCCCTCACCCCTGCCCATCTCTTCCAACTTGGGTGCAGTGCTTGTGTGAGCCCAGGAGGGGGTTTTGCCCCCTTTTCTGCCTGCTCCCTCTCCCCCTGGATTGTGCTGAGCTCAGCGACACCCGGAGCTTCCTCTTCCTGGACTGACTTCCTGGGTGGTTTTAGGGCCCCATCTGCGAGTGAGGAGAGGAAAGAAGACAGATCCTTGGGGAATGGAGACAATACTTGGCAAGGGAAGGCACTCCCAATTATAGAGATTCCAAACCTTGGGCTGAATTCACAGGTGCACATTCAGCCATGTGCCTGGTAGTGGCGTTCTCCCCTACCCCCCAGCATGCCAGGGTCCTCTCGCTTATTCAGCTGGGCTCCTTTGAACTCTTTCAGAACACCCTAGATCACAGCAGCGGGCAGACTTGAAAGGGAGGGTGTATAAGGCTTTTTACTTTGTGTGCCAGAGAGTGTTGGGGGGGGGGGGGGCGCAGGGAAGAGGCTGTGTTTTGATCTCTCAAAAAGAAAAAAAAAAGCAACAAAACAAATCCAGGTGAGGTCTGGGCCAGCTCTGGCTCCTGCAGTCAAAGAAAGAAGGCTCTATAAAGCAGATCATCCACTCAGATCTCGCTCGTGCAAATCCAGAGTGTGGAAGTCTTTGATATTTCTGTTTTTATATCTGGCTGTGTGTTGGCATCCCATAAACTCTGGCTGGGGCTGGGGGCAGGGGGGAAACTCACTTGAGAAATGGTAGAATCTTCATTGTAAAGTAAATCCCAGACCCCAGGTCCCTCTTGTGATGCATTCAGTTTTGTGTTAAAATGGACTGTTGTGCTATGGGATGCCCCGACCTGGGTAATGTGTGTGTGTGTGTGTGTGTGTGTGTGTGTGTACGCGCGTGCGCGTGTATATGTGCATCTTGGGCTCACATTCACTGTCAGGAAAACGGTGGAGGGAGTGGGGGCCGGGAGGACTTCCCGAATGCTTAGTCAGGAATCCTTGTGTAAAGTGAGTTTGGCTGTCTTGACTTTTTCTCTTCCAGACCAGGTAACTTACAAGTGACTGTTAAGAGATAGAAAGTCGGGAGTTGAGAGAGGAAGAGGGGGCTGGAGAGGGGAACCAGCAGGAAGCTGGAATGCTTGGTGGTGGCACCCTGCAGTAGGACCAAACTTGTAGGCAACTCTACTGGAGGAGGGGAGGGGAATTAGGTCTTGGTGCAAACACTGACCGTCACCCCTGCCCCCAACCCCAGCCTGAATTCTTTGTTGCCAGAATCGGGAATTGTCGCTGACATCGAATTAGAAAACATCCTCGATCCTGATAGCTTCTACGAACTCAAGAGCCAGCCCCTCCCCCTGCGTTCCAGGTACGACTCCTCCCCATCTCCCAGGCCTTTTCCCCTCTGTGCCAGCCTGACCCTTTCTCCCAGTAGCCTGTATTTTGCAGATGGCAATGTGAAGGGGGCCCAGAAAGAGCCTGCCCCACAGGACAGCAGGTGTCCAAGCTAGATAGTCCACCCAGACCACCCTACCCGTCCCCAGGCCCCCATCCATCAGCCTTATGTGCATACTCATTAAGACACAAATATTCCTACAGTCTTCATCCCCTCCCCCATCCTCGGAGGATGTGGCCTGCTTCAGGTCACCCTTTGGTGGACAGAGCCACAGCCTTGGCCCCTGCCCAATCCACTCCTACTTTCTAACAACCCACCACCCTTAGCCCAAGGCGAACCCCAACAGGTCTTTCTCTCTCCCCCTCCCTTTCTTCCTCTCCCCCCCCCCATCGGTAATCTAAATGTGCTGAGTCATCGGCCTGGGCTCTAAGAGAGAGGAGGGGACCTGGAAAAGGGGGCCGGAAGAGAGGATTGTGAAATGTCTGAGATTTTCAAGACTGCCTGGCTCCTGCGACCAGAGAGGCTCAGCCTACAGAGGAAGTTGAGCCTAAGGCTGCTACTCTGAGCCTGGTGTCACTCCCCACCCCCTCCCCTCTACTCCACACCCCTCAACCAGGAGCTCACAGAGCATGTCCAGCCCCAAGATGGGCTTTGGAACCCTAGGCATTCACATTCCACTCTGGCGCCTCAGTGCCACTGCTGCATAGCTTTACATGGTCCAGGGTCCTCTTGCAGAACCCAGCAGTGGCCCCACCACTTGATACACAAACAGGCTCTCATACAGGTTCCGCCACAAAGGACCAAGGGCTGAACCTTTCCTCCCCCTCCCTGCCGCACTGGACTGTGCCCTCTGACTGCCAGGGCCGGTGTCTCCCCCATCAGACTATGACCCCTGGAACCAAGTGTGGGTCCTGTGTCTGTCCCCACCTTAGGCATTGGATGAGATTTTTAGCTTACGTGTGGCCCCATATTTCCCATTCCACAGCCTCCCAATATCACTACAGGCCACACCAGCCACCCCAGCGACACTCTCTGCATCATCTTCCGCAGGGGGCTCCAGGACCCCTGCCATGTCGTCGGCTTCCTCCTCTCGGGTCTTGCTGCGGCAGCAGCTGATGCGGGCCCAGGCACAGGAGCAGGAGAGGCGTGAGCGTCGTGAACAGGCCGCAGCAGCTCCCTTCCCCAGCCCTGCACCTGCCTCTCCTGCTATCTCTGTGGTTGGTGTCTCTGCTGGGGGCCACACCTTGGGCCGTCCACCCCCTGCTCAAGTGCCCAGGGAGGTGCTCAAGGTAAGGAGAGGGCCACAGGTGACTGCTGTGTTGTGGGTGTGGTTGGGGGGCGGGGGAAGAGGTTGTTGTGTTGGTGGTTTTTGAGAAAGATCCCTGATTCTATTTAAATGATCTCTGCTATGTGCTGTGGTTTTAGGATTGTTGAGGGGTTCTTGGGCTCCCTAGGGATGTCTTTGTGGACAGTGAAGGGGTTGGGAGGGCCCTGGGGGTCCTGGCAATATAGGATGAGCTTCCTTTGGCAGTTTCTCTGCCATTGCAGTGTCCCGGGAAAGCAGGTCTGTCAGGTGATATTGGAGATCAGGGGAGAGCCAGAGGGATGGTTCCAGAATGCTCTAGAAACCATAAGGAATCCTGGTAACAATGGTTGGATTTGGGGGGCTATATGGGAGTTCGGAGAGTTCTGAGAAAGCAGGTTAGTTTTAATATTTAATTTTCTTTTTAATATTGTTTACAAAATTGAGGGGGGTGCATACCTAAAGTGGGCCTTTGATTACTATAGGGAGGGTCAAGTATGGAGGAAGGTGGGTGGAGCAAATGTTTCCATGTTTTTGTGCCTCCTGCGGAGAAACTGTCTTACTGGTACTTTGGAGGGTTCCCATATTCTGCACCCGGTTTGTCCCCCTGATCCCAGGTGGATTAGGGTGGACAGGCTGCAGGTACAGAGACAGCTCTGAGACTGGCTTCACTTTGTCCTTCTCCCTTCTCCAACCCATTGCATCACACAGGTGCAGACCCACCTGGAGAACCCAACACGCTACCACCTGCAACAAGCGCGCCGGCAGCAGGTCAAACAGTATCTGTCTACTACACTTGGACCCAAGCTGGCTTCCCAGGCCCTCACCCCACCACCAGGGCCTGCAAGTGCCCAACCGCTACCTGCCCCCGAGGCTGCCCATGCCACCAGCGGCCCCACAGGCAGTGCTCCAAATAGCCCCATGGCGCTGCTCAGCATTGGGTCTAGCTCAGAAAAGGAGGTAAGGAGCTGCCAACTGGGTTCCCATGCTCCGCTCACCAAATCCTTCCAAGCCTGTGTCATATTTGCTTCTGTCCCCAGATCGATGAGGTCATTGATGAGATCATCAGCCTGGAGTCCAGCTACAATGATGAGATGCTCAGTTATCTGCCGGGAGGCACTGCAGGGCTACAGCTCCCCAGCACGGTAGGTCCTGCCTGGGCTGGGGGATGTGGCATCCCTTTATCACTAATCCTGCCTCTGTGGTTGCTAGAGACACGCGAGACCCTTGTCATGCATTTTGCTAAAATGAGAAGGGCAGTCCTTGTAATGAGAATGGGACCCAGCAATTCCTGGGGGCTTTGTGGCAGCCTAGCTCCTGAGGTAGATTTCGTTTTTGCTTGTAGATTTTGTTTTTGCTTTAACAGTGAATGTACTAGTCTCACTTCATGAAGAGAGTTCACCTGACAGACCAGGTAGACATGTCAGGAAAGAACTGATCATTCCAGTCTGTATTCAGACTGTGGGTTTTTTTAATGGGTATAGGTATGGGCCCTTCCTTTCTCCCTCTCCCCTCATTTTCTTGGATGTAGCCGGGTGGGTGGCTTCCTGGTCATGGAACTCCTGAAAGTTCTGCCAGAACTTCATAATGAACCTAATAATCCCCCTTGGTCTAGGGCTGGAAAGATCCAGCCTTGCAGACTGATACACAATGCAGGAAGTTCCTGGAAATTTAGGCATGGCAAGATGTTTGGACTTTGCTATACGAAGTATCCAAACCTGAGAATTTTTTTGTTTTTGTTTGTTTTGTTTTTAGCAGTTTGAATATACCAAAAGATTCAGACTATTGCTATATACCCAGATCATGTAGCGATTAAAACATAGCAGAAAGTCTCCAAAATTGGCATACATTATAACAAATGGCCAAACCTTCTAGCAACTGGATCTTCCACAGGGTGTTACAGTGAACTGTGCCAAGTAGAAGGGTTCTTGTAGAGAATGGCAAAAACATCCTAGCACAAGGAATGTACCATTGTAACGCTGTTTTCCTAGAACTTTCCAAAAACTCTTATAATTATTGTTGAAGCATACCAATTGGTTTTGCCTTCTGTTTTTTCCAACTTATCAAAGGATGGGCATGTGCATAAAAATGGTACTGGTTTGTAGAGATTTGGATTCAGCTAAAGATTGAAACCTTGTCATAGATCTGCAGACTGGATAGGGCTTTCAAGAGATGAAAACTCTTCAAGATGTGGGTCTTGGGTGTTCTTAGAGATTTAGTGTGTTGGACTAGAGCATATCCAGGATAGTTTGAAGGGGGGGGGAGGCAGAAAAACACGAAGCTGGCATAAAAGCAGGGTTAGCTGAGCAGTTGGACAAGAAATCATGAGGGAGAACAATAAACAAGAAGTCCCTGGAGTCAGGATCTTGGTACATAGCGACAGGGGCCATAGGACATAGTTGGTGTGACTTGATCATAGTGAAAGACTACAGATTAGGTTGGAACTCTGTAGAAGACAAATTTTGGGTAAAATGTTGCCATGGCAATTTACCAAGGTCTGAAAAGATTGGGTTAGAGTGCTCCAAGAATGCCAGATTGGAATGTGGTGCGGGGAGGAGCTAACAGACTGGAATGTCACATCAGAGCTCAGAGCTAGCCTTGGAGCCTGGGAGAGGAGCATCAGAGGTCACTGAGAGATTTGATGGGCTGAGATTTAAGCAGGTCTGCTGAGCTCTGCCCTCCCTGTTGTGTGTGAAGTCACCTTGAAGAAGGAAGCTTCCCTTCTTGGCTGAGTCTGCCAAGCCATGTGCCTGAGGGACCCATCCTTGACATGTGTGTGGGGTCAAGTGCCTGGTTCTGAGGAAGGGTGATGCTAGGGGTCTGTTTCAACTATTTCTCTGTCCTCCCTTCCCCCAGCTGCCCGTGTCAGGGAATCTGCTTGATGTGTACAGTAGCCAGGGTGTGGCCACGCCAGCCATCACCGTCAGCAACTCCTGCCCGGCGGAGCTGCCCAACATCAAGCGGGAGATCTCTGGTAAGTGCTGGCACGTTGGCCCCTTACCCTCAGTTGGATGCCCCCACCTTGGGGAGCCCTCTTCTGCCCCACCCCCACCCAGCTCTGGAACCAGGCCCAACTTGGTGGGGGAAATCCAGGCATCCAGAGACAGAAACCATTTTTCGTCTTTCATCTGGTTGGCTTTGACCCTGTGGTCTCTCACCTTCTTTCATCCTGGGTTTCACAAATAGCCTGGCACTGTGGCTTTATAAAGCACTGTGAGGCAGGCATAGTGAGGCAGCAGTTTCAGGGGCTGCTGGGAACACCGGCGTCTCGACTGGTGTATCCTCTCTAGGAGTGCCCGATTGGAATCCAGACTACTCCTCCCTTTGGCCCCAGCTCCTTCCTAATTCAGTTTGGAGGCAGCAGAATATGGCCCAAGGATCTGGGTTCCTGCTACCCATGTGGGAGGCCCAAATGGGGTTCCTGACTCTTGACTTCAGCCTGGCTCAGCCCTGGCTATTGCAGGTATCTGGAGAATGGACCAGTAGATGGAACATCGATCTATCTGTCTATCTCTGTCACTCTGCTTTTCAAATATATATATTTCATTTATATATGTATGAAAGTATATATTTGAAAAGAATAAAACTATATTTAAAAATCACAAGAACAAACAAAAATACATTCTAAAAAGTCATTCCCCCTGCTACTGCCCAGTACCCCTGGGTCTGTGCTGCCTTCTTCTTTGCCCTGGGCACAGAAGCCCTGACCACTCCTATTCTATTCCAGAGACCGAAGCCAAGGCTCTTTTGAAGGAACGGCAGAAGAAAGATAATCACAACCTGAGTAAGCCAGAGAGCATGCACCCTTACCTTGCCTTGCCGCACCACCTGGCCCTGCCTTCACAGGAGCCCCTCCCTGCAATAACCCTGCAGCACCCCACTTTCTATCCTTTTTCCCTCCTCTACCCCATTGACCATTCTTTTCCCATCTTCCTCCCCTTCCTCACCTGCAAAGTCGAGCGTCGTAGGCGATTCAACATTAACGACAGGATCAAGGAACTGGGCACTCTCATCCCCAAGTCCAGTGACCCGTGAGTCCGGGCTGGGGACCCCGGGCCAGCGGGAGGTGGGGTGGGATCCAGGCCCTCCTGCCCATGCAGTTTTCCTCTGGGTCTTTCTGGGCCTGAGTGGTTGTAGACCCTACTCTGTGATGGTCTGGGTGCTCTATCTGCTCGCAATTGAGCCCCTCACTGTGCTGCTCATGTAGCACTTCCTTTATTCTTTCAAGATGAATCTGTTGAGCCAGGTGTCAGAGGGACTGAAACAGACAAAAATCTATGACCTTGTGGACCAACTGTTGGAGTGGTGGCAGCCAGACAAATAAGCCCAAAGCTACATGCTCTGTTATGATTGTGGTATAGAAGAATGAAGAATAGGAGGAAGATGGGGCCATGTTGGGAAGAGTGACATTTTGGAATGAGAATAGTAATGAGGCAGGCCACAGTTGACAAGGCACATACGGGCCTAAGAAGCTGAGGTAGGGAAGCCCCATGGGGATGGGAGGGGGGCGGGGGGGGGCAGGGGAGTGTTCAAAGCGCATGGCACAGCTGGCAAAGAAGGCAGGAAATGGCAGCTATGTTCATGTCCTAGGAGTGCGGAGAAGCCAGGGTGGCCGTTGTGAGAACAATCAAAGACATGGGTTCTCAAGCATGCCAGAGAAAGGCATGTCAAAGAGGGCTTCTGGAGGTCAGGCACTGCTGAAAGATTCCAGATAGAGGGTTTTCATCTGAACATTCTGTGCCTTCAATATGCCCCCACCTCAAGTTCAAGGCCTGCACAGGGGTGATCCTTCCACCTGGTACAGTTCCCCTCCCCTCAGCAATGGAGAGAAACTCCAAATATGGGGGTGCATGTGGGCAGGGGAGCTTCAGAACATTCGCAGACAATGGCATTAAAAGATACATTTATCTTGGTGCAAAAAAAAAAAATTATAATCCACGCATAGGAAGTATCCCCAGTAACAATGTGTGTCATGATAGAACTATGCATGGATTTCAGTGATTTTTTTTTTTTTTGGTACCAAAATAATCATTACCTCTTCCATGCCATGTTCCACGAACGTTTCGGAAGTTCCCTGCCTTATGCAGGGCTTTGTGGTTCCTCCCTGCCGTCGGGCCCCACAGGGAGATGCGTTGGAACAAAGGCACCATCCTGAAGGCCTCTGTGGATTACATCCGCAAGCTGCAGAAGGAGCAACAGCGCTCCAAAGACCTGGAGAGCCGGCAGCGATCCCTGGAGCAGGCCAACCGCAGCCTGCAGCTCCGAATTCAGGTGTGCAAGGAGGAGATGGGGTTGGGGAGGGATGGAGGGCGTGTGGAAGGTAATTTTGCTCCAGGGAGAGGCAGAGGCAAGATAGGCCAGGATTTTCCTCTCACCCTACCCCATCCTGCCCTGCCTTAGTGAATCCCCAGGCTTCTCAACTCCCATGATTATGGCCATAGTTATGGTCACATAATTCCTAACATTTGTAATCATTGTAGCTGGGGTGTTTATTGTTCCTCCCCTAGACCAGGCACCTTAACAACAGCTTGAAGCCCCTTTAGTTCACTGGGTCAGTACACAACAACCCCAGGAAACAAGGACCTGTTGTACCCATTTTACAGATTGGGCTGCTGCTGAAGCTCAAGGTTCATGTCAAGTGGATGGCAGGGTCTGCACTGGAGCCTTTTATAGCCATTTACACTCCTCTGAGCCCATCTTCACCTGTACCTATCCATTCCTCTTTCGCAGGAGCTAGAACTGCAGGCCCAGATCCATGGTCTCCCCGTACCTCCTGCCCCAGGGCTGCTCTCGCTGGCCACGACTTCAGGCTCTGACAGCCTCAAGCCGGAGCAGCTGGACACTGAGGAGGAAGGCAGGCCAGGCACAGCGACGACGTTCCATCTAGGCGGGGGACCGGCCCAAAGTGGCCCTCAGCAGCAGCCCCCAGCACCGCCCTCAGATGCACTTCTGGACCTGCACTTTCCCAGTGACCACCTGGGAGACCTGGGGAACCCCTTTCGCCTGGGGCTGGAGGACATTCTAATGGAGGAGGAGGAAGGGATGGTGGGAGGACTGTCAGGGGGTGCCCTGTCCCCGCTGCGGGCTGCCTCGGACCCCCTGCTCTCCTCAGTATCCCCTGCTGTCTCCAAGGCCAGCAGCCGCCGCAGCAGCTTCAGCATGGAGGAGGAGTCCTGATCAGGTCTCATCCCTCCTCTGGGCCTCCCCCTGACCCAGGAAAGGAGGACCAGTTAGGCTGAGTCCTGTCTCCCCCCCACCCTTTCCAGGAGACTGCCCTGCCCAGGTATTCTGGGGGGGGAGGAAAGAGGAGATGTGATCAGGCTAGGAGGAGGAGTCAGATGAGGCCCCTCCCCTTCCCCAAAGGGCCAACCCTGGGCAGATTGCTGAGGGAGAGGGCAGCCCAAAGTGGTGAGAACAGGGCCTGTCCCCTCACCCCTACCACCGCTGCTGCTGTGGTACCTGCCCTTGCCCAGATGAGGGAAGAAGACAGGGGGAGGTCCTGGCTGGGTCTCCCAGGAAACAAAGGTCAGGACAGTGCTCCAGCCCTTTCTCTTGAAATGCCCGTCTAGTCCATGCTTGTGGGGGAAGAGGAGTCAAAATGAAGGAAGTCCTACTTGCAGGAGTTAGAGGGGCACAAGGGTGGGCAGGGGGTGGGGTGAAAACCCTGGCCCTTCCCCTTGAACCCTACCCTGCTCAGGCAAGGAAGAGAAGTGAGGTTGAGACTTGGTCCCTTTGCCTGGAAACTCAGTACTGGCCTTCTAGGAATGGAGGCGTTAGGCCCCTTCCATTCCCTATAGCAACAGCCCAACGCAGGCATCTCAGGTGTTGAAGAACCCCGCCTTCCCCTGTGAAGGTCACAGTGAACCGCCATGCCCTTGGCCTCTGAGCACCATCCCATCCAAACATTCCATGCTGCAGGGAGGAGTGGCACTTCCCCTGCCTTAACCCAGGACCAACCCGAGCTAACCTAGAAGGGTGCTAAGCTGCCCTTGCTCTTGAGAAAGGGGGTGGATCTTGGAATCATATGCATTGATGCTTGCAGGCCTAGTGATGGAGTGAGACTTAGGCCCCCAAGCCTTGCTTAGACTCCTACCTTCTTCAGAGGTGGAGGAGGGGGGAGTGTAGGGGCAGTGTTGGGGAGCTGATGGGGAATGTCAGGGCCTGAGGTCAGGTGTGCAGAATCAGATTCCAGGGACTGTGTCAAGGGTCACAGTGAAGGACAGGGACATTTCTGCATTATCCACCGCCCAGGACAAAGTGCCTCCCCTCCCCTGAGGCAGAGGCCTGGAGTGGATGGGGGGATTACAGAAGCATATTGTTTCCTCTCATTTTTTAATGAATTCTGTTTGGAAGTTAGGTCACCCCAGCCTGTGGTCCTCATCCTATCCTTCATTTGGAGGACTCCCCCGATTTGCGATATCAACAGACACTCCCCACCCACTGCCAACCCTCCTACCACTCACACCCAAAGCTGTTAGCTTTGGATTGCTGGGGCCAGGCCCCAAGGAGGGTGTACTGAGGGGCCTGTAGGTTTGTGATGAAAATAATAAATGCTAGGCGTGTTTGAGGCGCTTTTAACTTTGGCAAAGATTCTCCGGGCCTTGTGTTTGTGCAATGAATATGAGCTTGTACGGGTCACAGAGTCTGAACTTTCTGGGAAGGAACAGATTTGAGAGGGATGCATGAAAGAAGGGAGATAGCAAGAGAGGCTGCAGGGAAGCCACCTGCCAACCAAGATCATCAGCCTTGTAAAACATCTGCTCTGGGGCCGGGCGGTGAGGCCTAGCAGCTAAAGTTCTCACCTTGAACGCCAGGATCCCATATGGACGCCAGTTCTAATCCCGGCAGCTCCACTTCCCATCTAGCTCGCTGCTTGTGGCCTGGGAAAGCAGTTGAGGACGGCCCAAGTCTTTGGGATCCTGCACCCGTGTGGGAGACCTAGAGGAAGTTCCTGGCTCCTGGCCCCGGATCAGCACAGCACTGGCCGCTGCGGTCACTTGGGGAGTGAACATCAGATGGAAGATCTTCCTCTCTGTCTCTCCTCCTCTCTGTATATCTGACTTTGTAATAAAAATAAATACATCTTAAAAAAAAAAAAACCTGCTCTGGACCCATGCAAACTGCCACCGCCCCCGCAGTGGTTTCACCTGATTGATTCCTCTCAGGAAAGTTTGGTCAGAATGTGCTGCTGCTTGTTCTCATTCCCTGCTTGAAGAGGCCTAAACCGACAGCACTGAAGTAACCCTTCTGAGTTATTAATTAAGTTTGGCGAGTGAGGACTAGTTTGAAAACATCACTGGGAGCTGAAGGAGAGAGAGGGTGCTGAAAAAAAGAATGTTTATGATTACTTGAAGGGAAGAACACCAGACACAGATTTTATTTCCACCTGTTTGCCACCCCAAATGACCTTAATAGGTAGGGTTCGGCCGGGCTGAAATCAGGAGCCAGGAAGTTTGCCTGTGTCTTCCTCTTGGGTAGCGGGATGTAAATATTTGGGCCGTCATCTGCTGCTTTCCCAAGCATCTTAGTGGGGAGCTGGATTGGAATCATGGTAGCTGGGACTCAAACTGGCATGCCGATATGAGCTGCCAGCATTAAAAGCAGGGGCTTGATTTTTTATAGCACAACTGTTCCTGGGAGAAAAGATTTTTTTGCAAATTCAATTTGTTTTCACTCATTCATATCAGAGAAAGATCTAGACACTCTAATGTGCTGGTTCACTCCCCTGAATCTCTGCGACAGGTGACAGGTCAAAACCAAGAACCAGGAACTCAATCCAGGTCTGTGATGGATGACAGGAGCCTTACTGCTTGAGCCATCACCTGTGACCTCCTAGGATGCACAGTAGCAGGAAGCTGGAATTCAGGTTGACACTAGCATTTGGATTCAGACATTACTCTATGGGAGGCAAGCATCCCAAGGGGTGTCTTAATCACTCTGCCAAGCATCCATCTGCACATTGACTTTTGATATCAGTAAAGAAGTTTATGAAAATATCAGCTGGTAGGCAAAACAGATACTTACGATTGTAGAAGGGCCCGGCGCGGTACCTAGTGGACAAAGTCCTCACCTTGTAAGTACCGGGATCCCATGTGGGCACCAGCTCCTGTCCCAGCTGCTCCATTTCCCATCCAGCTCCCTGCTTGTGGCCTGGGAAAGCAGTTGAGGATGGTGCAAAGCCTTGGGAGCCTGCACCTGTGTGGAAGCTCTGGAAGAAGCTCCTGGCTTTGAATTGGCTCAGCTCCAGCCATTGGGACCACTTGGGGAGTGAATCAGTGGATGAAGGATCTTCCTTTGTCTCTCCTGCTCTCTGTACATCTGACTTTCCAATAAAAACAAATAAGTCTTTAAAAAAAAAAAAAGATGATAGAAAAGGCCAAGAGTAAACATGGGGGGACAAGCATTGATATTTGCAAAGAATTTTTAAAAAGTTTTAAAAAGATTTATTTAATTTTATTACAAAGCCAGATATACACAGAGAGGAGGAGACACAGAGAGGAAGATCTTCCATCCGATGATTCACTCCCCAAGTGACCCCAACGGCTGGTGCTGCGCTGATCCAAAGCTGGGAACCAGGAACCTCTTCCGAGTCTCCCACGCAGGTGCAGGCTCCCAAGGCTTTGGGCCGTCCTTGACTGCTTTCCCAGGCCACAAGCAGGGAGCTGGATGGGAAGTGGAGCTGCTGGGATTAGAACAGGCGTCCATATGGTATCCCGGGGCATTCAAGGCAAGGACTTTAGCCACTAGGCCACGCCACCAGGCCCGCAAAGAATTTTTTAAAGTTTATTTTTGTTTGAAAGGCAGAGTAACAGAAACGAGAGAGATCTTCAGTCTGCTGGTTCACTCCCAAAACGGCTAACAATGGCTGGAACTGCGCTGATCTGAAGCCAGGATCCTGGAGTTTCCTCTGGGTTTCACAAGTGGGTGCAACATCTTTCATTGCTTTCCCAGGCTACAAGTAGGAGGCTGGATTCAAAATGGAGAAGCCGGGATATGATCTAGTGCCCATATGGGATGTCAGCATTTGCAGCTGGAGAAAGCCAGTTGAGCTATCACTTAACTTTGTAATCCTGCTCCAAAGGAATTATAAAGCTGTTAGAGTTCCTATAGGTATCACTCACATCCCCCTAGTATTAACATCTTACACAACCCCAGAAAATAACAAGAGCAAAGAGTAATTTTAACTTCAGACTTTATTTTGGGTTTTATCAGTTTTTCTGAAGATGCCTTCTCTATTCTAGGCTCCAAGTAAAGATATTGTATTTGTTTCCTATGCCTGGTGCTTTTTTTTTTTTTTTAAGCTGTATTTTATTTGAGCGTCAGAATCACAGAGGGAGCAAAAACAGATCCTCTATCTGCTGGTTCACTCTCCAAATGGCTGCAATGGTAAGGGCTAAGACAGGCTGAAGCCAGGAGCTCCATCCAAGTGTTCCCCATGGGTGGCCACCTTCTGCTGCTTTAACATGGAACAGCTGGGACTCAAACTGGTGCCCACATGGGATCCCAGCCTTGTAATTGGTGGTGAGTCCCTACTACCTATGCCTGTTGAACACGTGACCAAATCTTCACAACTAAAAACTATACAGTGCACATTCATTGTCTCAGGTTTGGTGGGTCAGGAATCCAGGCTGGGCTCAGCAGGGTTTGCAAATTCATTGTCCCTCAGCCCAATCAGGCAAGGCATCTGATGGGACTGAAGATCTATCTGAAAGCACTACTGGGAAAGATGTACTTGTGTAGGCAGGATTCAGTTCTGCAGCCTGCTGACAGACAGCCCCAGATCCCTGCTAGCTGCCAGCCAGAGGTGCCCACGATACTTGGTATGAGTGCCTTTGCAAGAGGGGGCTCACAGCAGTTTTTAATTTTTGTTTGTTTTTTTTTTCTCACACACAAACACAATATATGGATGAATGGATGGTTTAGACAGTCTGATGGGATCACTTGCTCTGATGTCACCTCCTCGTCTCGTGTTTATGAATGATGGCTCCACATACTGCACAAGCGTCAAGGGGCAATTCCTTGGGTGTTACTTCCTCCGATGTCACCTCCTCCTCTCATGCTTAAGCAGGATGGATCCGCACACCTCGCTCCCTCGTTGACTCCTGTGCCACGATCGTGATAACTCTCTCTCCGTCTCTCTGTATACGACGGGCACGGAGATAGCTGTACATGCACACCATCCTCAGAGGCACAAAAAGCAAAACACGTGGCCAGCCATGGAGGCCACCATAGCCTGCGTTTTTAATTTTTGAAAAGCATTTATGTGGAAAGCAGAGAGAGAGAGAGAGAGAGAGAGAGACGGGTCTTCGATGTACTGTTTCACTGCTTAAATGGCCACAACAGCCATAGCTGAATCAGGCTGGAGCCAGGAGCCCCACCTGGATCTCCTGCATAGATGACAGGAACTCACGTATTGGGGTCCAATATCTCAGTAGGAAGCTGGATCAGAAGCAAAAGCAGGAGTAGATCTCAGGCACGCCAGTATGGCCCACAGTTGTCCCAGGTGACAATCTAACCTACTGAGCTACACAGCCTGCCTTTTTTTTTTTTCCATTAAAATCTTAATTTATTTGAAACACAGAGAAAAAAGAGAGAGTAATTTCCCATTCTCTACCCTCCAAATGCCCACAACATCTAGGATTGGTTTGAACCAAAGTTAGTAAGTTTAGAATCCTTTGTGAGTACTTGGATTAGAAGTGGATATAAGAGGCCTGGTGGGATGGCTCAGTGGCTAAATCCTTGCCTTGCACATGTTAGGATGCCATTGGGCACCAGTTCATGTTCTGGCTGCTCCATTTCCCCATCCAGCTTCCTGCTGGTGGCCTGGAAAATCAGTAGAGGATGGCCCAAAGCCTTGGGACCCTGCACCTGGTGGGAGACCTGGAGGATGCTTCTGGGTCCTGGCTTTGGATTATCTCATTTCTGGTTGTTGTGGCCAATGGATGGAAAATCTTTCTATGTCTCTCTCTCTCTAGATCTGACTTTCCAATAAAAAATTTTT